ATTTAGAGGGTCAAATCACTTTTATAATGACATTTACAATTATCCACTTAATTTTATTATTCAACATTAAATAGTCCAAACAGAACATGAAACATTTGTTTACAGAAAGTAATATTTTTTTTTTCTGCTCTTAAAATTTTTCACACGTTGTCACGATTGTCACAGCTAGGCTTTTCTCAATAAGTTAATGGGAACATAATGATTAATGTTTTACAAGCTGGAGTTGATTTAATCAACACAGATAATTTTTCTAACCGGCATCATGATTGCTGAATATTAATATTAATAACCATTTCTTTTCACATTAGCATGTGTTTATTACTTTCAAAGAATTACCTGTGTGTTCCTTGCCATCTTCACAGTGACTTTGACTAATTTCGAAGTATAGTAGGAAGCAGGGTTAGTTTACACTTTACTTTTTACAGTTTATGTCACTTCCCCTTTAACAGGATCTGTGGCAAAAGCCAGCTTTTTTTTTGTGCAAAGTTTCCAAAACAGTTATAAGTGAAGTCCAGATGTGTAAGTTAGAAAGCTGTATCTTGGCAGTGCTTGATGGTTAGGAGACTTACGTGGCAAATAAAGACAGTTTTGGGAAAACAGGCAAATGGTCTTTTTCTCAGATTCAGAAGTTAACGTCAGGCTGAATTTTCCTCTGCTTGTTCTTGAAGACTCTTAAGCTGAACCTTTGACTCTCATTTATAGCAGTGATAGCTAGTAATTTATTTTCCCTTGGAAACAGAGGAGATAGTCTTTAAATTTAATCTGAAAGTGAAATTGTCCAACTACTCTGCCTCTCTGCTTTAGAATCTCCCTTCTTAAGTAATCCCCTACCCTGCACTTTTTTTTGCTGTCATTTTTGCCTGTGTTTAGGATAGTTATTTAGTATTTCCAAACATTTCTCTCTTTTGCTTGATTCCATAGAAAAAAACAATTTCTCATGAGGACATTTTTGATCCCTGATTCCTTTCTTTTTTTTTTTTTTTTTTTTTTTTTTTTTTTTTTTTTTTTTTTTTTTTTTTTTTTTTTTTTTTTTTTTTTTTTTTTTTTTTTTTTTTTTTTTTTTTTTTTTTTTTTTTTTTTTTTTTTTTTTTTTTTTTTTTTTTTTTTTTTTTTTGATAGTTACAGAAACTGTCATAGGAAGTTTTCTCAAATAACATAAAATCACCAAATATACCCTCAGTTGATTTAGTACAATCCCAGAAAGTTACAGTGGATTTAGAAAAGCTTTAATTCAAACTTGGGAGAATTGTAATGAGGAAATTGGCAACAATGAAGTTGTGATTTTGATGTTGCTAATCAAGGACATGCTACTTCATCTCCCAGTGAAAACCTTGTTACCTCTGATTTTCCTGTGTTGCTGGGTGGGCCTCAAAGCCTATTGTCCAACACTGGACATTGGCATCAGCTGCACAGACAGGTGAGGATGAGGGAAACACAGGCCCTGGTAACCTCAGGTGACACTGTTAAGGAGAGGCAGGAGCAGAGGCATTTGGATTGTCTGTAAAAGCACAGACACCACAGCACCATAAGTGCTGTTTACCCAAGATGACAGAAGATGGGTTTCCACCCACTCCTTTTATTAATTGCAGATGTCTCTTTCTCCTTGAAAACTGGGGCTGCTACTTGTAAGATGCTGTTTTCAGGTGTGCCGAGAGAAATAATCTTCCTTTTTTACAATACAGATTTCTCCTTTCCATGTTATATCACATTAATTCTGCATAAAGTTTTCTTTGCACCTTAAAGCAGTTCAAATAGTCCATTTTTCTCTTTCACAAAATAGCCCCTCCAGTTTTTTCTCGTTGCTATTATTTTTTGGTTGTTGTTTTTTTCTTTTTGTCTATTTTTTCTTAGTAGCACAGCTCACAGGCAGGGTAATACAATTAGTTGCAATTTTAAGTAGCATTTCAGATTTCCTATCTGTATTTCTAATGTTTATTTTCAATTTATCACACTTAATTAAAAGAAAACAAACAAATAAATGAAGCCCTGCCTAATACAACTGGAGCAATAATTCTTTTTTGTTACTTTTCCTTGTTCTCTTTACAAGTTTCTCTGTCCTATGGAATGCTGGGGTATGAGTATTTTAACACTTGTTGCTTTGTCTTATAAATTGACATATTTATTCTTTGCTAAAATGTTAGTTTCATTACTGAACTGTCAGCTCCTAAACTCTATGGCTATTTCGCTTTAATATGTAAGATCTTGCCTATATTCAGACCATTTTATACTGTTATAATCTGCTTAATTTTGCTGTGTTGGAAGTCCATTTTTCTAACTTCTGTTGTGGACATCATTAATATCAATTGACAAATGTATGATCAGTGACACCCTGGAGAGATTTTATTGCTCTGTCCAGCTTCTCAGTGGGAAATTGTACTGTAGATAGATACAGTTTTTTCTTGTAAGTACACAGAAAAGTTTGGTGGCACAAGTTGCCATAAAGGACGTTCCAGCCAGATATTGGGAAAATATCTGATGTGGCTGATTCACCACTGAAACTGGTTGTCCAAAACGTTTTTGAAATCTCCATGCCTTCAGAGCTTGAGCAGAAATGCCTCTGAGTAATTTTATGCAACTTTGAAGTTAGAGCTGTCTTTGAGGTTAACCCTGTTTTGATCAAGGACTTTTATCAGCAAAATTATCCCTTGGTTCTCTGGTAGATCTGCAGCGGGTCAGCTCAGGACTCTTGAGGACATCTTTACAAAGAGTGGACACATGAGGTGATAAGGTCACTGGTGACACATTGCATCCTTTTGTGATTCTGTAGCATCTTCAGAATCACTTTAACTTTGCTTGAGCAGCTTTTCCAGATCACCTGGTCTGTTACTGTGCTCTGCGCTTCTAGAATATGAGCTATACCTACAGGGTGTGTTACATCTGTTGACTGTCACCTATGCAGCGAGCTATTGCAAGGTCAGAGCAGCTTAAAGGCTCCCATGGGACTCGTTCCCTCCTGCAAGCATAAAAGTAATTTCAAATACTTGCCATCTGGTCACTGCTCTGAGAAAATGTGGAACCAGTGGAAATCACAGAATTTGAAGTTGTTTTGAGCTAATATTGTTCTACCAGAGCCTGGCCCCCTGCTGTGAAGTGTTACAAATTTATTTTTGTATATTTGAAAACACATTTTCAAATATGTTTGTGCTTCCACTTTGGAAAGTTTGATTCGGAGATGTGCTCATCCAAACATGGAGGGAACAGTGCAAGTGATAGAAACACCCCATGGCTATTTGCAAGTGGTGGCAATGATTCTGTCAGACTCACGTGAGCATTTTGTCACTGGTGCTCAGGAGGGGCTGTGTGTTTGTGTGTTTGACTGAGGAGCAGACATCCCAGGAGAGTAACAGTGTGTGTGTTGGGAACTGGGGGGGTGAGTGTCTATAATTAAGCTTCTTTGGTCTATAGGTACCTCTGAAGTAGAAGAAGTTATGTGCTGGAACTGTCTCCCATGTGGTTATTTCTGTGTAAGAGATGCGTTCCCAGAGTATTTCATCCACCCACTTGCTTTCTCTGATAAAATTTTTTAACACTACGTTTTCCATTCCGTGCACTGTGTAAAATACTGAGTAAATAAGGTTGCTAAGAGCCTTGTTCTATGCTAATTTGAATTGAATTAAGGCTTTAGAGAACTGAGGAGGCTTGTCTTAAAACTCCATTTGCTAAAATTATCCTTACAGGCTTGAATGTAATTGTACTTAGGCCAACAAAATATGAAGAAAAACATGAAAGTGGTTTTATGACAGAACAGTACTTTCTAAATTTAAATTTGTTTTGAATACCACTGCATTTTTGTAATTTATACATTTTAATTAGGTCCAATCAAATATTGGAACAAACAAAAATAATATATGGTATATATATAAAAACATATTATGTAGCATATTGCAAATTTTCTATATGCTCGTTCATAAATCATGAAGATGATCTTTTCTCAAAGTAGTCAGCCTAATGCTGACTCAATTTCAATAAACTTTTTAACTAAGTGCTTGTTTCACATTTTTCTCTTGCACATAGAAAAGGTTATTTAATGAAAGTTACGTTAAAATAATGATGTATCCCTAATTACAGAAATCTTTATCTTACATGATACAAAACTGTAGATTGTTTCTACTGAGAGATATAGCACAGAAAGAATGAAAATGCCCTTTTAGTCACAGCTCTGTACAGTTGCTGATAAGGTTTTCATTTCACTCCAGTGCTTTGACCACTCTGTACGGTTAAATTGAGAAGTGGCACAAGTGGCTTCTTGTCATCAGAGAGTTTAGGAAAAATCTGGTATTCAAGGAGCTTTTCTGTACAAGTCTATTGCTATGGAGTCACGAGTTGATGCATTACAAAATACCATTTGGGTGTATCTGTGTTTGTACTGTAAAACAAAGCTCTCAAAACTAAAAGTAATAACACACTTGGGAAAATCTGTATTTTTCTAATGACATAGGCACTGCCTTTCCTCTGGTATAATGATGAGTTTTTTGTAAACACAGAAACAATAGACCTCCACATTAGCTCATGCTAATAGGAATACGAATTCTGCAGGAAAAAAGATACTGGAGGCCTGAAAAAATTAAAGACATATAAATTAAGCGAAATCAGTATACAGCAAATATGGAAAGAATATAATTAACCATCTAAGCATGGAAAAATTATAGTAAGACAATATGCAAAGTTTTATTTTTTGTTTTAAAAAAAAAAGAGATTCAGGCATAGTAGTAACATCAAAAATGAATAGGAAATTGCTCTGATGGTGGTATTTAGTCCTCTCTGGCTTTCTGGAATGTTTATGCCTTTTCTTAATAGCTCTTACAAATGTAGCAAGTTATAAAAGCATACAACCAGTCATCGTTGTGTCCATTCTAAACTTAGATTTTCTTAAGATAAGAGATGGAGTGATGGTCTCGCCTCTGCATTGGCTGTGGTGTTGGTTCCAATATTTCAAATAGAAAATAGAGTCAATAAAGTTTGATAAAAGTATCTCACTGATTTTATTTTTCTTTTCACAGATTAAGATGCTTGGTAAAGCAGTTGGAGAAGGGTGACATTAATGTGGTGGATTTAAAAAAGAATATTGAATATGCAGCTTCTGTCCTGGAGGCGGTTTATATTGATGAAACCAGGTAAGTCAAAGGGAAACAATGCTGTGAACTGCATTTGAGAAATTTGGGTTTTGCCTGTAATTGCAACTGACATGAGCTGAAGGTCTGTGCACGTTAGAAGAAGCTTATGTTGCTCTTTGATCTTTTAGTGACAAGGTGAAATCAAGTAAGTTTCAAAGGTCAGATGTAATTGTTGTCTGGAGAGAAATGCTCAAAGAAATGAATCAGGATGTTATAATCTGGTCATTAAATACATAAATTAATGAAAAGCTGTGATTTATTTTATATTGTTTGGTGCTTTGTTTATGATTATTTTTGCTGTCAGTATTAATGGCAAGGATAACCTTCCAAAATGAGGAAAAATTGATTTGGGCCAATGACTGTCAATATCCCATATAAAAGCTGATGGAAAGCTGGAAAGCACAGACATCAGGCACCTCATAAGTGCTGCTTTCCCATGAGCTTCATTATCTATGGCCCCATGTCACTTAATAAGCTTGTTTATCAGGTCCTTTTTAGGACTGCTGCATCTCTCAGTGCTGAATAATTGTAAGCTGCACTAAACACTGCCATGAAAGAGATCTAACACTTCGGTAGCTGAAGCAGAGGTTTATTGTCAGCTGAAAATAACCAGTGAAACTCTCACAGTTCCAGCCCCTCAGCAGATCTGCTCTGTGGAAGAAGTTCAAAAGTACTCAATAGGTGTTATAAATAATTCTGACAAATCTTGAAGAATTTTCTCTGTTAGTACCTTCCACTTGGCTCAAGGCAATGGAAGAAGGATATTTAGATTCAAACAGGAAATAAATACAGCTTGATAATTCAGTCATGACAGCTGTTCCGTTCCTTGTAAACACTGCTTTTCATTCATTCTAAGTAAGAAGAAAATAAATCTAATAAAACCTAAATGGAAATTACAAGATTTTAAAAAGGCATGTATTCTGAAGATAAATAAAAAACCTGGTAACTTCTTGTGGAGAATACTTTTTGGTTGTTAAGAGAAAAGTCAGAATATTTTATTCCAATTATGTCTTATTTTTCAATACTTTAATGTTTTAGAAGATACATTTGATTTCAGGAGGAATTTTATCTGTGCAGTGTAAGTTCCATATGGGGCTCTTATTTTGTTGCAGGCTATATAATGCTCTTTTAAAAAAACTTTAACCCCTTGGGAACTTTTGACTTAGGAGAGACTGTTTCAGTAATATATGAAGTAGCTCTGTTGTATATAGCTGGCAGTTGCTTTGAGCATCTTTGATTCAGCAAGACAAAATAAAAAATATAGGTTCATGAAATCAAAGGAAGTGTCTTTAAGGTTAAGTGGCATTATAACAATATATGTTTGCATGAGAGCTCTGGAAACAGTGCAGGTATTTCAATGATATTATCATGGCAAACACAGTTCTTCTGATAAAAAGTTCTTTAAAAAAAAAAAAAGTAAACACTGTGGTATATATAATGCTAAAAGGAGGTCATTAAATCCAAACTTTGCTGTTGTAATGAATACCTTGGACTATACTGAATTTCCAGTGTACTACTCCGGTAATGTTCAAAATATTTCTACAGTTTTGGGAGTTAAATAGAGACAAACATCCTCAAACATCCAAAAAGGAAATAGTTTCAATTGCAAGACAAAGGGCTTTGTCACTTCATGTCACCAAATGTCTGTGCGAGCCTTCAGGTGCACCACAGAAATATTTGTGACAAGATCATGCACATGTGTATCTTTGTTGTGTGGAGTCCAAGGAAGAAGAAAGGAGCAAATACTTGACTGGATACTGGTGCTCACAGAGCTCTGTGTTGTGGAGGTGTGAAGCTTAGGAAAAGGCCAACAAATAAACGAAATTCTACTGTTTCCAGGAGCTGCTGAGGTATAACAGTCAGTATAGCCTGCTATTGGGCAGCTCTTAGTTTTGGTTACATTTGCAACCCGAGAAGGCTGTTCCCCAGTATTTTCAAGTTTTTTCGATACTGGAAGAGAACCTGAGTCCATGGCAGCTACTCCATTTTAGGGTAGGAATTGATACAAAAAAAAAATAATAAACTGTGATATTTATTTGATTACCCTGTACTTTCTTTCACTCTCTTCTAGGCATATGTTTAGTTTAGGCATAGTATATGTTTGGCATGTAAATGAGAGCAAAAGTCAGTAAAGGCTCTGCCTTTCATGTTTCTTTTGATTTTCATAAGGTGTATTTTATCATCAGTGTTGCAGGGCTCTAAACTAGCACTACAGAAGTTGCTGCTGAGCATCTCACAGCAGGAATCTGTTACTTGGCTTTGCAGGGCCATTTGCATTCTATTCTCACCTGCGGCATAGCAGATGTAGCGGGTTTTTTGAGGCACAGTTTCACTGACTGTAAGGCTCTGGTTATGGAAGAAATTGTGCCAATGCAGACACTGTTATCTGTTGAGATTAACCAGCAGAGATTGTCACACCAACAAATCTCTTAGATGGTGCAAGGATTGAGAAAGTTAAATTCTCTTACATCAAAGAGGTATTTTTAAAAACTTTTAAAAGATATATTTTTAGTCTTTCTACCTGAACAGTTGGGCATTCAGTTAATGACGCAATTTATTTTGAAGGATCTAGAAAATATTTCTTCTGAAAATTACCATTTTTGGCACATCTATGAATATTTTAAAAAAATATTCTGCCTAATGATACAAGGATAAAACAAGTGGAATGGGATGCCCTATTTGGAAGTTATTTGCCAGATGTAAAATATAGTCTGTATGATTCCTCTCTGAGGTGACTTAGTTGAGAGATTTGAAGTGGCAATTATTTAAACATGAAGTTAAATTATTTAAGCATGAAGTTAAATTATAATCTTGAATATTCAGTCAAGTTTGCTGTGAGTGTGTGTTGCCAGTCTGTGGTTAAATGTACTTTGCCTGAAGTTGTCAGTAACAAATGTACCATTTGAAGTAAATCATTCAGTTTATCCATTAGGGGAATCTACAATTGATACTTTTGTAAAAGCTCCTATTGAGAAAAAGCTTATTGTGTTGAGATTAGTACAGTATATTCCACCCTTATAAAAGCTTAAAATAAACCTTTGAAATCTTTTGTATTAAGCTAAAGGTTTGGGTTTTTTTTCTGAGGAAAGCTTACAACAGTGTTAAAGTTATATAAAAAAATACACTTAAAATGACTGAAAATCTATTAAATTCTAACTAAAACTTCCGAGTTCAGTTAGGATATTTAATAAATGGCTGGCATCCCTTTCCCAAAATTATTGAATTTTTCTGTCTCATAGTTTTTGCTGTTATTTTAATTCTAAGTCATGCCCTGAGTTAGTCCCAGCCCTGTAGAACTCCAAGAGTACCACATTAAAGCAGCTGAATAAAAATAAAAAAAAAAAAAAAGGTAAAAGTAAATACACTGACTCATAGTTGTACTCCTGAAAAATTATATTTTTTTTAGTCATGAGTATCCTGACCTAAGTGTAAAGATTGTTGTTGGCCTTTGGTATATACCTCTTTATTTCCAAATAGGCAGTACATGTCAACAAGTGAACATTTCCAGTAGCAGTGGTCCTTCCTACATTACTTATTTATTTAATTAATTGGTAATTCATGATATGAGAACAATTTTTCTAAGAATGTGCTAATTTTATGGGTACAACATGTTGGTTAATTCATAATTTCCTTTAGAAAGACATTTATGTACTAAAAATGCCCCTCATTCATTTTTTGAAATTTGCTTATCCTTGGTGGAAGTCAAGAGAGTCTTTTAGTGGATATTAGTCGAAACTGTAATGGACTATAGAGGATGTAAATATTGATTAAGTATATTGATTCATGCTCATTCAGGAAGATAGCGAGATAATAGAACTAAACAACTTGTAAAAATGTAGACTGACTGTTTAAACTATAAATTCTTCTGCATTCTAGACCTAGAGAGGACTTTCTTCAATTTACTCTTAAGGGCTTGATTAATTCACTAATCAGCAAAGAGCTAATACCTCCTTCTCAATCTCTCCTCTGGAAATCTTTTACCACCTCTGTTAGGCAGCATGACTGATCAGCACTGATGGATTTTTTTCCCCCATAGCCATTATCTAATTTTATTTTTTTAATTTTCTTTTCTTTCTTTTTCTTGATAGTACATCTGATATATTCCTAAGGGAAAAGAAATATACTTCTGACTAGTCCATTACTATATTTAAAATTCTGATTAAATGAAAAGAGAGCAAGAAATTATCACCGCTTGAATTTTGAAAAATTATTCTTGGCAAAAACCACCGTACTGTGACAAGAAGATCAGGTTATTAGTTACTATGACTGCAATATTAATTGATTGCTAAGCTGAAATGCCATGGGCCATGTCTTACTTATTCCCACAACTGTCAATGGAAGTTCTACTCATGGAATGAATAGAATTAAATAACCCAAGCCTCCCCCTCTCCTTCCCACGCGTATCTCTTCCTCATATTGCATCTACTTAACAGGCTAATGATATATGAGCAAAATAAGTGCATGTAAACCTGAAATTCTGACTTCATGTTGAAAAAACGTACTTTCTGTGGTACATTTTGTTACAACCTCTTTTGTTTTGTTTCTTAGCATTTTTGGGTGTTCCTTAGCTTTATGGAAGAAAAATTAACGTGTGTGCCTTCGTATATATTAGTATATATATTTATTTAATTCAACTAGTATATTTGAGTTCATGCCTCCCAGTTAAATGGAGTTTATCTCAGTAGAGTTTTACTTGAAGACTGATTTAGTGGAACAACTATGTAGCTTCAAAATGCCCTCAGTCTCTGCTCTTCAGGGTGGTTGATTTGGAGGATGAGGCTTTGGGTCTTGCAGTCACTCCATTCCAAATATTTTCTAAGCTAGAAATTCTAGCCTTGTATTTGACAGCTATGGTCACTTGTACACTAATTTACAGAGTGACATTTTTGAACCTATGTAGGATTTTACATATTGCAGAATGTCACAAAATTATATTGCAATTTACAAATTACATTTTGCAATATAAACTATAAATTATATTGCAAAATCTTGCAAAAATCCCTGTAATATTTGATAGGAAGTTCAGTGATACAACTGTGTGTCTTTGCTTTAATCCTGTCTTCTGCTTTCCTGATTTTATTTTATCTCCTTTTATTTTTTTATTTTTTTTTAAAGGTATTTAATCATAGAATGCGTTGGATAAAGTTGTAAGGGGCCTTAAATATCATCTGCTTCCAACCTTCCTCCAGACTGATCTTGGACACATCTAGGGTGGGGCATCCACACCTTCTCTGAGTAACCTGTTCCAGTGCCACACCACCCTTACAGTAAAGAATTTCTTCCTGATATCTAATCTAAATCTCTCCTCTTTTAGTTTAAAACTTTCCCCCTTGTTCTAGCACTATCTGACTGTAAAAAGATGCTCTCTCTCTTTTTTATGAGCTCCCTTTAGGTACTGAAAGGCTGCAATGAGGTAACTCCAGGTTATTTTAAAGAAATGTTTCGACAATCAGTGAATAAAAGGTGAACAATTAGATGTATTTCACAGTACTAATGTATCTAGACCCATGGAAATATAATGGAAAGATTGTTTTTTATAATCAAAATAAAAATAGATGAATAGAAGTTGAGAAAAGCTGGAAGCTGTGAAATTAGTTGAAATTGGATTATAAGATTTTTTTTAATAATTAAACATAGTTTGTATGAAGCAATTTATTTTCCTTCCCACATAAAATTTCCGTCTAATTTATTTTCCTTCCCACATAAAATTTCCAACAAATTGTGGAATTTGATGGAACCATCCATTTATTCAGATGTGTAGATTCATATAGGAGCCCTGTTCCTGTAATTACAGAAGAATGGCAGTCATTAGTGAAATTGTTCAAAGGCCATTTCTAGCAGTGCAGATGCCATGAGTAATTTTCCCCAATATAATTCTTATTCTTCAAAAGGTCAGAAAAGTCTCAGAAATAGATAGTTGTAAGATGAATGACTAGCCCTTGTTTCCTCTCCTTGAATATAGTTCCAGTTAGTCTTCTCAAAGAAACTAATTCTTTTTGAGAAGTTGTTGGGGGGTTGTGGGAGCTGCAAGATTTTATACTTGCAATGTAATTCTATATTGCAGTTGCTTTCCTACTTTTTCTAGTTGGAAGCAAAGACACCGAAACTCTTTCCCCCTTGGCTTGTTGTTCAGTCATGACTCGTCTCATGAAAATTACTGATTAAATAAACACTTTTTACAAATAATGTTTTCTCAGATCTGTCTTCATGAAGTAACATCTGTTACTGTCATTTACAGACTGAACAATCCTCCTGCTTTACAGGTGAATGGTTAAAAGGATTAGAGAAACTTCTGGGTGTCTTGCTGGCCTTAATTTGTACTCCAGTGGCTCATATCTGTAGAGCTCAGGATTTGGTCCCAAATTCAGGTCTTCATCAGACTATAGCAAACTGATGTAGAGCTCTGCTTTACCCTGCACAGGTCATGTGGAATGGCCCTGCTGCATGCTGTGAGGCAGCCTAATGCCCACGGTCCTTTTATTGCTGGTATGTTTTCATCTCATTTGAGTAATGGAATAGTTACAAAAACATGTTTTAGGGATTATAATGTTTATCCCTTATTGTACTAAAAATATATCAAATGTCAAATATTCCTCAGAGATATAAGTGTACAGATTTCTCCAGGGATATATAATAACAGTCTTAGACTAGTATGGATTTAAGTGGACTATAGCATAGTTTTCAGTGTAGGGAATAAAGCCAATTTATAGCCTTTAGGCTATGCCCAATCTCGGCTTTGGTTTGGTTTTGCAGGCTAATTTGCCCAAATCCTTTTCTCTACACAATCCTGCTCCTCCAATTTAAGTTACTGATTTTTGGTCTGTGTCCCACTTTCAGAAAATTTCATAATTCTTGTCCATTCTGCTCTTCTTGTGCTCCATCTTAAAGAACTTTCCTAGGCTGATAATTTTATATTTCTGAAAAATAGAAATGTTTCTGCTGTTCTTTCAGTAAAATGAAGGAGGATGAGGGGTGCATTTTATGGAATTTTTTTAAATCCACTTTTAAAACCTTACAAAATATGCTGCTGGTCAAATGAGCTGCTGAAACTGAGAACAGCAAATGAACACAACTATGCTATGCTCACTGTTCACCAATACTTTATATGACTTTTCTAATATCATGCTTCCTACTAGTCATATTCCTATAATTCCTCAGATAGCATTAGATTTAAGTGGGGATTCCTTTGAACTATACCGTATTCCCACTGGAGAAATAGATCTATGTAATCAAATAATATCTGCAATTGGCACCACCTTCAATAAAACATTTCAAAAAAGTTCCATGCTTTGCATGTGTTCAGGTCATTCTAACTCTGGGATTTCTTACATAACTGTGTGAAAGAAAACTTGATATCTGACTAAATAAGGGATTAGGTTCTTGGAAAATCTTAGCAATCTGAGTGATATGGGCAAATAACAGCTTGAAAAAGGCTTATAGAAGTGTGGATTGGAAGTGTTGAATCTGAAGAGAATATTTAGTTACATGGTTCTTCTAAATAAACTGATGACTTTCAAGTCAGTTTTGTTTAAGCGAAGTTTCTTTTTAATACTTCTATTTTGCAAGAACTATACATAAGTTTTTCTAGCTTTTTGAACTGTTCAGAACTTTGAAAACTGACTTGCAATCCAATCTTGTATAATATCTTTATTGATTTGGTTACCATGCTTTTTATTTTATTGATTTGGTTACCATGCTTTTTATAGGAATACAGATCTCAACACAGAAGGAATTAGTTCTCTTTATTAAAGGAATTAATTATCTTTAATACTTTTATTCCACTGGAATAACATGACAAGCATGTATACAGGGTGTTTGTTGACATGCATTCACCATTGCATTGCTATATAATATCATTTACTTTGCATCTAAGTATCCAAAAACTTTTTGCACCATTTTGGATGGACCACTGGTGTTCTTGGTTATAGCAGCAATCCCTCTTTCTATAGGCTTTCCTGTCAGTCAGTCTTTTAGATTTTATAGCTCATTCATTACACTTCAATCCACCACAGCTTTGACAACTTTGTAGAAAAATCTTCTTTTGCCTTCAGTTGAATGTCTTGAATTTTAATTATCTTTTACCTTCTGGAACATGAGCAATGGGAAAGAAAAGAGATCTGCTGTACTCAGCTGGCCTTTGGCCTCACCAGCAAAGGCATTTACTGATGTGCTGAGTCGATTTACACACGGCCTCGGCTCCTCTGAAATCAAGTTTTGTTGGCTGTTCACCTCTCTGGACTCTTTGCTTCAGTCTGCCATCTTGTTGGTTACCCTGTGTTACTCTTTTTGTAGGAAACTTTTGGACACTGAGGATGAACTCTCTGACATCCAGTCGGATTCGGTCCCGCTGGAAGTGCGGGACTGGTTAGCTTCTACATTCACGAGAGAGATGGGAATAGCGAAGAGGAGACCTGAAGAAAAGCCCAAATTCCGAAGCATTGTGCATGCTGTACAGGCTGGGATTTTTGTAGAAAGGTGAGAGCTTGGTTTCATTATCCCAGCAAGTGCAGCATTTAACCACAGTGTCTGCCACTGAAGATCCTTTAAGTGGTGGGAGGAACCTGCAGCAAATCTTTGAGCCAGTTATATGCTTCAGTTTCTGCAGTCACTTTATTTTTCCATAGACAAATCCAGGTAAAACCTCTAAATTTGTAAAATCTCCTGAACAATGGAAAATTCTGGGGATAAACTCAAAGGCTTTGCAACTTCTATAATAAATTGTACCAAAGACTGCTCTAACACAGAAGAGGGATTTTTCTCAAAAGTTCGTAAAAAGATTTATGTAATCTTTGGGATCAGAACCTTTAATAGCTTAGTGTTTTTTCAAAAACTGTGAAAAGTTAATTACAGAAGATAAATCTCTCCAGTACTTTATATAGGAGTGCTACTTTGTGATATTTTTTTTTTCTTTAGGATGTACCGAAGAACTTCAAGCATGGTTGGTTTGGCTTACCCATCAGAAGTGATAGTCACATTTAAGGTGAAATAAGTTTAATCATTGTGGAATTTAAATGTATTTGTACTTAGTGTTTAGTGTTTAGTGACTTTTAAGGTGAAATGAAGTTATTTCTCTACTAAACATACCTTAGCCATAGTTAGTACTACAGAACTGAGCACACAGAACACAGAAATTAGTAGTTAATAATTCAAAAATAACATGGTTCCGTGTAATACTGATTTAATTTAGACATTATTAGAGTAACAGGATGAAATTTGTGTAGAAATTTTTATAGAAATGTGAGATGTAGTTCTATCAGCTCCCAGTGGTGTGGTAATCAGTGTCTCAGACAGGAGTATTTGTTTCCTTTTTAGGAAAGAAAAAGGAGATAGTATTTGGACAGAGCTAACAAAAGAATCCAAACCTTATGGAACAAGTAGAGTATTTGCTGTGAATTTAAGGTATTACTTTAGTTCATATATAAGACAATCTTTTATAGAGAGCAAAGTTCCTATGTCTATGTAAGCAATTAAAAACTAGTATTTCTTGAGAATTAAGTGCCTCAACTTTTCTCCTAGAAGTCAAACACTGTTATATTATTCTCAGATTTCTTTATGGTTAATGAGATCAGTGTTAATGACCTATTTAACAGATGGTATTGACTTTGTTCCATAAGGTTCTTTATACAATTTGTATGCAGAAAGTAAACTTTGAAAAATTAAGACCTTTGACTCAATGCATACAAAGTTGCCTAGGTCATGTTACAAGTATTTTATTCATAGATGGCACAACTGTTTTCATCATTAATATTGAAATAGTCATTAATATGTTAGCTACAGTAGAAGTGTGATAGAATTGGACAATCAAAAAACCACCAACCTCTCCCCCTTCCCTCAAAAAACTCTCCAAAATATCTTTTCTAGTGATCAGCTGGAACCTACTTAAGCAGATGGAAATTTTATGGTTTTTGGTTTTCTGTTCTTTGTTTTTTCTTTTTCCCCTCATCTACAGGATGTTGATAAATGGTCTTTTGACGTATTTGCCCTAAATGAAGCAAGTGGAGAGCACAGTCTGAAATTTATGATGTATGAGCTGTTTACCCGATATGACCTCTTGAGCCGTTTCAAGGTCAGAAACTAGCCACAGATAAAGATATGTACGCAAAAATATATACGTCAAATTTCAAATGCAAGAACAACAGCATAAGTTGGACTTTTTAATTGTACAATGCAGTGCAAAGAATATGGCAAATCAAATATTGTAATATTCCAATTGTTCTACCAAATGAAACCCAAAAAATGGAAAGCCATGTAGACCCATGTCATATCATTGGTGAGCATTACATAAATAGATTATGTATACAGCCTATTTACTCAGCAGGACTGAATCAGTGACCCAGCTTCCTGGAACAAAAATTACTAATAAGGCAGGAAACTGTAGCTAGTCTTAAGCACTTTTTTCGCAGTCTAAATTATAGTATGTTGATCACTCCTGTAGAGGGTCTTCAGATGAACCTTCCTCTCCTAACCAGCTTGGAGGGATATACAAAGAGAAAACTGGTTTTCCATGGTGTTTGGAGGGTTTTGCAATACAATATGGAGTACTTATAGCCAGTTCTGAAAGGCTGAGATAAAAATATGGATCAAAATGCCAAATTTATTGTTATAATAGTACCAAATGAAAGTTTTCTTGTACTTTCAAAATCTCCCCACTGAAAAACTCCATGTTCCTGTTGAAGAGGCTACCTCACTCTGAAGTTGTTCTGAATATTTTAACTGTGACTAGTATCCCAGCTTTTCCCCACAAGCTTTATGTGCTTGAAGTCAGAACCACACCAGGGCTACCATTAACAACATAGACACAAAATATACAATGCTACTGGCAGAGTAGGTTTAAGCCCGTTCTCAGTTCCATTGTTTACCTTGCTTTTAAATAAAGAAAAAATTCTTAAGGAAAATATAATTTCACTGTATGGGTGACATGTTTTAACCCTGGCCCACCAAATAAGCTCACTTCTCTCTCCAGCAGGATGGGAAAAGAGAATTGGAGGCGTAAAAGTGAGAAAATTTGTGGGTTGTGATAAGTACAGTGTAATAATAATAATGTGAGAATGATGTTCTTAATAATAATATAGAAAATTAATGAAAATAACAGAGAGAGATATAAAACCCAAGGAGAAATTATGCAAATGAAAACAATTGCTCACCACATGTTGGCTCACTGATGTCCAGCCAACAAGCACCAGCCCCCCAGGTGTCTTCCTCCCAGCTTTGTGCTGCTGACCCTGACACCATGTCCTTGGTGTATCCCATGAGTCAGCTGGGCCAGCTGTCCTGGCTGTGTCCTTTTCCAGCTTCTTGTGCACCCTCCACCCTACCCAGTGGTGGGGTGGGACTAGGAGCAGAGAGAGCCTTGACCCTGAATAACCTCTGCTTAGCTGTAACTAAAACATCCCTGTCTTATCAAGACTCTTTCCAACACTAATCCAAAACATAGCCTCATAGTATCTACTATGAAGAAAATTAACTCTATCCCTGCCAAAATCAGCACAATGGGAAAATGGGAAAAACTTCACACATTGCCTGGAGGAAGGAAAGTCATACTATGAGATTAAAACAAACCTTGTCTCAAGCAAGTAAAATTGGTGAAGAAAAGGAGATAATCCTGTTGTTAGACTCCTATCTGTCATGCCTGTATTATTTGAGCAATCTGTCCTGATACAGACAGACAGGCATGTCTTGAAAACCATTTGGTTGATAGCTCTGCAATCTCTTGTGCATGGTGTATGTAGAGGGATATAACATCTACAAAAATTGGGTGAAGACTCACTGATGCATGTATTAAACCTTTACATTTTCTTTTGTTGTTTGCTGACTACTTTCTGTAGTATATTATTTGTTGTTCATTTATTGCATGATTGACTTTGCAGCTATTGCAGGAAAAAAACCAGTTATTTTAATGTTTTCTTCTCTCTAGATCCCTGTTCCCAATCTTATTTCATTTGCTGAAGCTCTTGAAGTTGGCTACAGCAAATACAAAAATCCATATCACAATTTGATCCATGCAGCTGACGTTACTCAAACTGTGCATTACATAATGATTCACACTGGTATCATGGTAAGAAATATGGTGAAGTTCAATTTACTTTTTTCCTCAGACTCTGCTGTTTTGAATAAATGTGTTCATGTGTCTTTTCTTAAGGAAAAAGCTCCCTTGAAAACTGTGCAGACAGAGATTTCAAACTACCATTCAGGCTGTGAACTTTGTCATTTTAACAGTTCTTCTGAGCTGAAACTCTCCCTATGCGGAGGGAAAAAGGAGGAAAAAATCCTTCTTAAATCTTGTTGCTTTTCATCGCCTGGACTTGGGTATTATATATCATATTAGAATAGATAGATTTGCAGGAGTGGGCAGGTGAGAAATTTTTACTTTCACATCACAGCATGGGAGGTGTGATCAGGCAAGGAAGCTTTAGTATCTGTTGAGGTCCTGGCTGTTGAAAGATGTACGGAATCAATGCAGACTTAGAATTATAGCGGCATAAAATGTTTTGGGTTGGAAGGGACCTTAAAGACAATCTAGTTCCAACTGCCCTGCCATGGGCAGGGACACCTTCCACTAGACCAAACTGCTCAGAGCCCCATCCAGCCCATTCTTGGACTCTGCAACTGCTTTTTCTTTTAGTTTATTACCTTTTTCAGGACTGCTCTTGGATACTGTATGTGCCTGTAGTAGGCAGGATATTGCATTTGTCTTGCAATGTCATAGTATTTTTTATTGTTCTTTTGGGAACTGAAATGAGTCTGTGCAAACATTTTTATTTCTAAACACTTATATTTAATACCAGCAGTGGTTGTCTCCTCCCTCTCAGCTTGCTAGGCAAAAGTAAATACTGATTGAAAGAGAAGAGGCATTGCTGTCAATGACCTTTTGATGATTTGTCTTCACTGTGAATGCGCTTGTTTAAAAAGAAAAAGAAAAAGAAGACAAACCCAAACCAACAAACAAAACTTCCTGGAAGAGATAGCGTCTGATTTCTGTTTGCAGAGCTATGAAACAACTCTTTGGAAAGGAAAAATTTAGGGCTGGCTTTAGATGTTTGTGCTCATATATACACAAAATAAATGTCAGTAAGTCGCTTATGTTAAGCCTTTTCTAACTTAAAACTTTTTACCTTTGGCTTCAGTGGGGCAAGGAAAAGTCCCTAGGCATTGCAGGTTTTTATTCTACTGTTTGAAGGAAGTAATTTGCTTCTAAGTATCAAGGTTTTAAAGCTACATTTTAACTGCAATTCTACATCCTGCATGAAGCCCTGAGTATTCACCAGCCAAGATTCCTTTTCACATTGAGAGATTTTCTTGAAAATGATTTCCATATCCGACTGAAGCAGTGCCTAGACAGCTCTTGCCAAGATGAGTCCAAGCCAAAGTTGTTGTATATACTATTGACCTATAAAAATAATTTTTTAATTACTGAAAAATATTGAAGAGATTAGATCATGGTTCCTAATTTACCATTGTCTCCTACTGTAAGGTTAACTGCAAAAGTTAAATTTTGTGAGATATGTCTTTGTTGCGAGTATACATCTGGATCAGCAATTTAACAGGGAGGAATATCCCTGTGTTTCATTAAATATTATAAACATCCCTTTGGCCTGCTGTATCTCTGCCCCTCTGCCCTTCAAAAAGCATGATAGCATTCAGATTTTCTTTGTGATGGTAGGACAAGGTTCCAGCTTCCAGAGCTGTCCTAGCCAATTTGGGATGTTTTGGCATTCATTAAACAACTTTGCAACACACTTTGTGTATCTATCTCTGAACACTGAATGAAGGAATCTGTTTCATATTTGAATATCTGCTATTTCACTGAGTGCACACAAGTATGAGAAAGGTGTCGCAGACAATAATTTTAGAATATTAGCATCTTAACCTTCTAATTGCACTTTAATGTGATTTGGACAATTATTTTCCAAAAAGTTTCGACTTTGCTGCTGCAAAACCTCATTAATGTTGCAAAATTGCTACAAAATATTTCTATAAAATTAGGACAACTTTATTTCACATTTTAATTGCCAAATTATGATACTGAATTACAATATTTGGCTGCCCATGGCAGGGGGGATTGGAACGATATGATCTTTAAGGTCTTTTCCAACTCTAACCATTCTCTGACTCTATGATTCTATGACGGAACTAGGACAACACTTAGTCAAGAGTGCCTTCAAACAGATGTAGCTTGCCAGGCAGAAGGAACACTTATGGAAATTGGTGTTTGAAAGAAGACCTAGTGATTTGCAACTTGCAAAGTATTTCTGTCTCAAATGTCACTTGCAATATGAGAATGCATCAGTATCATGAGAATGCTCTATTTAACTTGTGGATTTTGTTTTGTTTTGTGTTTGGTTTTTTCTTTTTTCCTATTTTCCAGTTAACTCTCCAAGACCCTACTCATTAACAATTTGAAATTTGCTTCTCAAGCTGATAATTTTCAGAGCCTGTCCATTGTGCACCTCTTTTAACTCTGCTGTATTTCTAGCAAATACCTGGATTGGAGTAAATTTGATGCAATTCTATATCAAATTCCAGTGGTTTTTTGGGTTTGTGTGTGGGTTTTTTTGTTGTGGGTTTTGTTTGGTTTTGTTTTTGTTTTTTTTCCCCAGGTTGGTGTGCAATTTGAGGTTATTTGGCTCATACTGACTCTAAAACTTTCAGATTTGCTATCTTCTTTGTTCATTTCTGAAAGAAGTACTGAAGCAAATGTTTTAAAAAAGCTGGGTATTAGAAAATCCATTTCACAATTCGTGTTGTTGAGCTCACGTCTTTTGTATCTTTTATAGGCAGCTGGAAAACAACCATATTTCAGCAATTGCAAAAAGATTTGGCTGGTCAGAGTTTATGCTTCTCCACAAACCCTTAGAAAGATTCCAGTGTAGAATATCACATATTCAGAGTCACAGTTAAAGAAATAAAATTATCATTATATTTTTCAAAAGTTGCTGTCTATCTTAAGAAACAAGATCCAGCCACCTCTGATCAGTGTGTTAGAAAGTTAGGTATCACAGATGGCACACAATTTATTAACCTTCCCAGGAGATTAAATCCCAGATGATATGACTGAAATGTATAACTCAAGCTTGCATTTATGAAGTTTTCATCTTTATAAAGATTTAAGAATCCAAGTCCCAGGGAACACATCTCGTAAAGAACTTTTGAGTCATCGATCATCTTCCCACCATCCCTTTTCTCCTCCCACGTACCTGTATTGCTCAAAGTAAAGGAAAAAATGTCTTTACTGTCAATAAGTGAATTTTGAGACTCCATTTCTTACTCAGAATTTCTTACTCTTTTTAATCCACTGTTGTAAAAAACTTGGTTTCAAACAGAGCTCATGGTAAGTTGAAATGTATCTATTTGCTTAGAAGCAATTTATAACACTGGAAAACAGCTCTCAATAGAAGAGATGTTTTACATTAGGCATTACACCTTCAAGGAATAGTATCTTTCAGGAGGAACAGGTTTCAGCTCTTCACAGTCTTGCAGGCCTCTAGATACCTGTCTAGATATCTTTCCCTCTCCATTTGAGAAAAACACTTGTTAACTGTCTCTCTAAGAGCTTTTTCCTACTTCCTTAGAAATCCTTTAGCTAAAGCACTCTGATTCTCTGATTTTAATACTGATCTCAATTTTGACTGTACGGTTTGTGTCTCTAGTGTATTTGCTCTCATATAGTGCTATATGAAGTCTCTGTGTTGCCCATAGATATTGTTTGTAGGGAATGTTCTTCTACTTATAAAGGCATTGTATAGTAACTACTTTGTTTGCTAGAAAAGCTGACCTTTAAAAAGGCATCTCAAAGAAAAAGTTTATGTTTAGTTACTAATAATTTCTGTGTTTCTATTCTATTTGGTATTTTGAAAATATTATGAAAGCCAGGAATGGTCATGGCCTGGTTTCTTCTGACACACAATACTATGAAGGTCATCGTTTCCATTTTTAGAACTGCTTACAGTACATTCTCTTTACTGTGTTGTGACCTTTTAAAATCCGTACTGCTTCACCAACAGGCTGTAGTTGTTCCTCAGCAGTCTTATTTTGTTGCTGAATGATCTATTTTATTATTCTCAAATTACTTATGAATCTTGACTGTTCCCTTTCTTCTTCTTTGAAAGAAGTACTACTGTTGGCAACTTTTACTACATCTGGCAGCTTATACATCTCACATCCATTCATACACATGTATGTGCATATTCGGTTGCACAAACTTGAGATTATCCTTTGATTCTTTAGAACAGAAGCTTACTTTTATGCCAAAACCATCTGAAATATGTCTGGAAATGCTTGACTGGCATTTGACTTAATCAGTCCTGTGACTGTGGGGGTTAATAATCATATGATTTTTCTGCCCCCATCTTTAGATGGAATAAATTTTCTCCTCAAGGATGATTTATCATTCAAGAAATAGAAATTGAAAGAAGATAATAGAGGTTATTTTACAAACTGAATGATACAGAACAGCCTCAGTTAGCAAGAGTTATAAAAGGAAACAAAACTCCAGGGTCTGCGTTATTTTGTATACATGACCTGTATTACCTTTTGTTCTGTATAACTGTATACTAGACTTATGCACTTTTTTTAAAATTTTTTAATCTCTACAAACTATGATAAAACTTAGAACAGAAAAGTCTCCCATGGGCCTAATTTTAGCGCTATGTACACTGGAAAAATGTAGTTAATACTGATGTTGTATGTTGAATTTTTATGAACTGTATATATAGTTTACTAAAAGATAAATTATAACCTTAACTTCATATCAAGCTTTTAGTTTAATATGGCATAATTTGGCTAGTTTCATGTGTGAGATAACAGATTAGATACTCATTGCAGTTGCAAAGTATACCATGTAATTCTCTTGACAACTTCTTATATTTTCAGCTGCCAATATTTACTTTACTAGTGACCAAATGGATATTAACTTGGTCTCAGACAAATCATAACAAGTACAAGGACTTATTTTACTGTATAATACTGAAGTGTTATGGATATATAGTTGCCTGGAATAAGACAAGTGGAAAGTTTATTTAAGTTAAAGGTAGTGCAAAACATTTTCAGTACTGTACTGTTTAATCAGAGCTATTACAGCAAATGTGACTAGGATTTGTTTTTCACTTGCCAGCACTGGCTCACAGAACTGGAAATTTTAGCAATGATCTTTGCAGCTGCCGTCCATGATTATGAACATACTGGGACCACAAACAATTTTCATATTCAGACAAGGTAAGCAAAGTGGTCTCCTTAGAGTTATATCTGGAGTTCACTGTTCATTGGTCTGAACTGTTTCATGCCTCTTACTAATAAAGCCAGGAAGTAGCCAGGTCATCCCTGATTTTACAAATTGCTTCCTTGACCTCTGTACAGTTAATGGGACCATTCACATGGACAGAGAGTGTGGAAAAGTAAGGAGATAACTCCAGAACATTTGAAATCATTCTATTTTGGAGCACATATGTCAAGAGAAATTTCAAAAATATTCAGAGCATGGACTTGAAAAACCCTCACCCCTCTATTTGTTCACTTAAATTCTGATACTTCTGAGTCAAAAACTTCTTCTACTGTGTCCCCATAAAAATACTACCTTGCTTCCAGCGATGTGCCTGGGCATACTTCAGGGGCTACATTTCGTTTCATTTTGTGTATTAAACTTACAAACTCCTGGTGCAGAGGGAGAAACCTTTAGAAATACCTACTATGAGCCCTATGACAGTATCTGCAGTAGGCAAGAAAAAGAAATCTAAAGAGGAATCCAGTCTGAAAGTGAGGCTTGCTGTATTTTCATGCAGGTGCAGCATGTCATTCTAGCTGCTGGTCAGCAACAGCATATATCTCTTCCCCTTAAAACGTTTTCTGCTTACTGAGGGAAAATCCCTGACCAATACATTACTAAGTGATAAATGGTACACCTGATACTTTACCTAATTCAAAGCATCTTATTGTTCTCTTACACTAGGCTATACTTTGATTTTAATATCCTCAATTGAGGAGTTTGCTTTAGCTGGTCTTGAAAAAAAAAAAATTCAGCATCACACTAGTATATTCTAACAAAACAGCTCTGTGCTAGAAGTATGAATACCTTGAATGGAAGCATCTTCACAATCACCTATGTGGATAAAGTGCCCAAAGGTAACATTTAAATTAAATTTGTAACGTGCTCCAAGATGTTCCCTTCAATAATGAACGAATTCTAGATTTGCAGCTGAAATAAGAACACAATTCTTTTCTCCCTCAGCACAGTCTGGCTAAAAATAAACCAGTTTGTAGTTCCAAGTTTATATTACTCTTCTATTTTTGTCCTTAATATTTTGCTCTGAAGTATTGCAAGAGTGGAAAATTAATTAAGCTGTTAGCTTTTGAATTTTACTTGCAAATAGGTATTTTTTTTGTAATGTAGCTTATTCTTCTCTATTAGGGTAAATTGGCCCTGATGTGGCATCCCAGGGCTGTGATTCCAAGCTTCTTTTGCCTGAGAAAAGCTGATGGAATTGCTGCCATAATCGTAGCAAATCTTAGCACCACTTAAACCTACCCATAAGTAGCTATGTCTGTCAAAGTGTGCTTCTTAAACATATGTGATTGGCATAACACAGATTTTCCCACAATTTCAGTTGGATTATGGATGCAAACATATAGAGTTTTAGCAGGTTATGGTTTATTCCCTCTAAATAAAGTTTCCAATCCTATTTTAATTCTTTAGATACCTTAGTAGCATACATGACAATACATAATATTTCTCAACAGAACAAGAGGTTCAGTATACCTTATTTGTGTCAGAGGGAGCTGCACATATAAATCATCACACCTTTCTTCTAGTACAGATTTTTCAGTTGACCAAGTTAAAATATTCAGTAATAGTTTTATCAGAATGGAAGTGTATCAAAGAGGAGAGACTGGAAGTTGCTTAACAGGTCAGGTAAGGTCTTGGGGAAATAAATTCTCTAAGAATTTATAATGTTTGAAGCTAAGTGTGATAAATCCACACCACATCAAAATTTGTGAAAGTTTTCATGTAATTCTGGAATGGGACATTAGTCTTTAATTAAGAGGGAAAGGTTACTGTCAAGTGTGCTATCATTATGGTATGGGTCTTTCTTTAGGAAGTACTTGAATGCAATCAAATTTCATGTCAAGGTTTAGCTGTGTTTCTGACAAAAGATGGTGTCTGTTTAAAATATATGAAATTGAAGCTTTTTAATATTTTATTATTTACAGCTCCTTCTGATAATGAGCAGCAAGGGCCAAAGCACATCTCTCAGAACAGGGGTAGTAGCTTCTTAACATCCATGCTGTTGGTGAAGACACTGCATTTTAAATAGTTGTATCGCTGAAGTGTACTCTTGGGTAGCCGAACTGGAGCATTTCTGTTGTTCTGTGGTCCTATCTACAGTCAAGAAGCTCAAAGATCTCACAAATTTTTTTCACACTTAGATCATATAAATAAAACATCACACATTTAAAAGTATGACTTTTCCACAAACAGTGTATGCAATAGTATAATCACAATTTTTTATGCATCTAAGATGGAAAATGTATCAATATTCTATACAGTAGGAAAAAATACACGTAGTTTGATATATATGTGTATATATATATATATAGTCAATAGTTCTCATAGAGAATACATAGACCTACCTTTTGCAGTGCCATCATTAGGACACTATTACAAAATCTGCCTTTTTTTTTCAACACTAGGTCAGATGTTGCTATATTGTACAATGATCGTTCTGTTCTGGAAAATCATCATGTAAGTGCTGCTTATAGACTCATGCAAGAAGAAGAGATGAACATCCTGGGTAATTTAAATAAAGATGACTGGAGGTAAGACTTGCTGTGACATTCAAACATAATTCCACTATTTATAAATAATAAAAACCACCAGACCTTCCCTCTGGAGCCTATTTTAAGAGTTCAAATTACAGGAAGCGACGTTGTCACCGAAAAGAGTAATGGATATTTAGAGCCCAGGGAAGGCTCTACTGCTCTCAGCAGTGCTGAAAAATATTGTTTGGGAGACTCCAAACAAAATCAAATTTTCCAAGTGAGACTGTGCATTTACGAGGCACAGTGCTGGACTGTGTGGACAGTGTCTCAGGTAGGACAGATCTTCAGGAAAACCACAATGCTGCTCTTTAGCTGGGCTGCCTTTGCCTAACAGTGGGTTAAAACCAGAGTGCAGAGTCACACTACTGCCAGCCTGAGCACTGCTGCCCCTGGGATTTCACCGTAGTCACATCTTGGTTAAGCATTAAAAAATTATGTGGGGAGTCCAGAAATAATAATGTAAAGGCCCAGAAGTGCTACAGAAAGCTTTTCTTTTTCTTCTTAATTTTAGTGTAATTTCTGAAGAAAATTTGGCCAGCTGAAAGAGTAAGGATCATAATTGATATATCACAAACACGAAGACCTGTAGGGCTAAAATGAACAAGTGTTAGACTAAGTTTTCCCATTATTAAAAGGGACATGTTATCTTTGTATATCTTTGTTTTATATATTTAAAATATGAGTCTTCTGTGTGTTTCTATAAACATAGCTATTATTCAGGGATCCCAGAAAACCCTTTTCAAACAGGTGGACTGTGAAGCCAGAGAGATGTTCTGCCTCCAGGAAAGTCTCCCACTGTGAATGAAGCTACCATGAATAACAAAGCTATACTCTGCTTAATTTATATTTTCATGAAACTATACATTTATGAGGGAATGTCAGAACAATTTTTGCTGTGGTATATTTACAGATGAAGGACAGTTTGACATGGTAGATTAATATGATTTTACTTATCTACATGATGAGAACACCCTTAAGTAAAGCATTTATTGAGTGTAAGTGTTCTGGCCCTTTTGGTTTTCAATTAATTCTATTTTTGTACCTGTTTCTAAAACACAATATTAAAAGTATTGCTAATTTTAATTTAATACAGAGTGAGAGAGGAAGCATACTGTTTTTCATTCCCTTAGAAGTATTATTTTCAGAGGATACTCATTTGGATTTAGTTATCAGGAATTTTGTTCTGTAAATTTAGTTCTGGAGAAATATCTCCTGAAGTAAATTGTAAACTTCAGCAATAACTGTCTATACACCTAGATTTTCATTGCCAACATAAGCCAGTCTTGTTTTTCTTAGAACTATTTTGGACCTGATAATTTTGGGGCTGATAGGTTTCTTTGACCCTATTTTTGCTTGTCCTAACTACTGAGTATGGAGAAAGTGCTTGTGTCAGTAGACAGTCATCAGAGGGTAGAATTCTGTCTTTTTAAACCATTATTTTAGAGAGAAAATGATTTTCAAACCTTCAGACTTGTTGCCTTGATTATGTATTTTTTTTTGAAGTGGTGGTTTTTCACATTGTGTCCTACCAGAGAATGCTTTAGGTGGAAAGGAGTAGGTCTTCTTCAGTTGAATTTCAGTTCAGGATTGTGCCAAGAATGGCTTGGAAACACTTATGTGCATTCCCAGCCCTGACTTCTTTATCGCTGGAGACCACCATAAACTAGAATAGTGTCAGAATCCCTGAAGCAGCATACACTGACTCCAGCAGACAGAAATCTGACTACCAGCTGGTAGAGTTTATCCCAGTCATTCCCATTTGTTATGTCACTGAGAAAAAGAGTAATAGGTTGGAAACAAAATATTTGCCAGTGGAAAGAGGAGCCTGCATTTTCCAGGTGTGTAATGTTTCTTCATACTGCTCAGGTGGACTGCAAACAGAATAAAGGGGAAAGTGTGATAGGCTCTTCTCATGTTCTGAAGCACACTCTCCTCTGCACAGATTGTTTTGTCTGGGTTTCCCATAGTTCTTTTCCCAGTTCAATAATAGACCATTTTGTCCAACTTCTGTTGCATTTCATTTCTCTGTAGTTTTTGAACATATGATAAACTACCACGTTCTTTTGGATGTTGCTTGATCCCCACTGGCTCTGTTTACACTTGCTTTTCTCCCACAGTCTTCTCCCACTGTAACCCAGTTGTGTTTTTCTAGAGGATCTTATTTTAATTTTGCAAATTTTGTTTGTGTAAAGTGGCTACAAAGATCCTGTTATATGCAGCAAGTTTGAAGTTGGTGAGATCTGGCAACTAGAGAAACTAGAATTTACCTTCTCTTTTTGGGCCTATTCAGTACAACTTAGAAGAGATCTATGAATTGACTAATAAGTTCAAGCAACTAAACCAGAACACTCAGTTCTGTGTTTTGTCACTTAGCTAAGCAATTACAGTCTGTACTTTCAAGCGAACAGTAAATGCCAAAGTGCCAGTCTGTGCCAACCTGTACAACCTGTTCACGTCTGAGACTTCAATTTAGAGGGGCAGTCATGGAAATTATAGTTTCCTGGTATTCATTTCTAATATCCAGAAATTCTTGTAACCCTTTCATGAGGTACAGTTGTTCACTGATGCAGTGATGGATCTGTTAGCCACTTAACAGAGGCTCTTCAGTTTTGTAATTACTACTATAGCGAGCTTTTTCGATCTATACTGAAGTTCACGCTGCTAAACTAACAGTTTTGAAGTTTGCACTGCATCAAATTGCCAGTAAATTGAAATGATAATTTGTTCAACTTCTTAATATACTTCCTGGCACTTATTAATTTCTTTTCTACTGTCAAATCTATTTTCTTAGGTGCAGAGATTTAATTTTTAAAAAATGTAACACTGCTGACTATTTAAACTGAGGTTCTGCTAATCATTTCAGCAAGATGAAGCAAAATGACAGAGAATGACTTTATAGTATTACATTTCTCTTCTGCATGTTAAAGTTAAGAAGATAAGTGTACTAATAAACTGACAACCTCAATTAAGTTTAAAACATAGGGTTTGGGTCTAAGCAGGGAAAAACTGCCAGCATTCTGAGGATAATGTCCTTCGTGGATAATGCATGTGACATTCATAGTAATTTCTCAGTCTTTTCTCAACTCTTAAAATATGCTCCAGTCACTGATATTGTTTTGTTTCTCTCACTTTGTGCCCTTAACTAACTGATGAGGGATACTTGTTTGTCCCCCTTTCTCCTTTGATTTACCAGGATTCTAATGTCTTAACACCACGTGTGTTACACCAACAGTAATAGGTGGTGAGGCAGTATTAATGTCTCAAACCATTCCAGTCAGAAGGCATACAATGACAAAAAAAAAGACTAATAAACCAATATAAATTATATGTAATGCCCGAAGAATAGCATTTCTTTCACAAATTCCCTTGGGATTCTTCTGTGTAAGGATTCCTATAACTTGAAGATGAACCTTATGCTTCAGTTCCCAACTTGCTTTTGTTCATCTTAGTCTGTTCCTGCATTTTTTCTGAATAGTTTCCAACTGACTATATGTCTTTGTCATGGACATTTGTCCAGGTAAAGCTGGTTTCTGTTTGTAGGTTAATTACTTTTCCAAGAAATTCATGTGCCATTCCTAGTCTCTTTATTACAGCGTTGTTCATGTGATTTTTTCACATAGTCTTATATCTATGTCTTTTTACAGTATCCTATCCATAGGACTTATGGTTGTAGGAGGGTTAAGAAAGTGTGACAGCACAGGACATGATGGTCTGCTTAAGTAAAGTGGAGATGGTATACTCAAAATCAGTAACCTTTGGATTTGGGGCCTGAAAAACCTTTCTGTGCTATACGTGAATACTGTTACCACTTCCCTTCATAGTAAGACAACATCTGCACATCTTTTTGCCAAGATAGCCGGAGCAATGCTGACTGTATTACCCTGATGTTTGTAGCTCTGGACTGCCTGATGATCGTGGCCAGAGATTTCTGTCCAGGGGTTACCTGTAAGAGCAGCTGAGGTCTCCTTAAATATGGAAGTTGAGACAGCCTTTTTTCTCAGCCTTTTTCTGGGAAGCAATTTGGTAATGGTATCAGTCCAAGAGTAATCTTCTGTGCAGCGCTAGTAGACAAAGCATTTTTAGTTCTAGTAGAGCTTTATTTAACATTTCCCAGTCAGGTCTCAATTTTCTATATCTCTAATTATGATGGATGTGGATGCCAGCAGGAAGCAAATGCAGGTGGAGAGTGTCTCCTTTGCTATTAAGCAGCTTTCTAGTGGCCTAAAATCTTCACAAGTGTGTGAGAGGGCAGTGCTACATTGTTTGATCCTTATTCAGGTGATGGAGGTAAGAATCAGGGGGTTTCTGCTGCCATGATAATATGAGTAAACTGAAAACAGTGTTTTACTTCTCTGTGTGTCTTGTAGTAGTAGGAGTGAGGTGTTTTGTGAATAAGAGTGAATTTATTTCTGATCACTCTTAAAAGTTCAGACATTTAAAGTTCCTAGGCAAATCTCCCATAAAAAGGGGAAGGGATAATTATTTCAGTCTTACAAACAACAGGGTTTAATAATGCAGAGCCCTCAGTTTTCATGTAGTGTTAATTTTTTTTGTTTGTTTGGTTGTGTTTTTTTTTGTGTGTGTGTGTGTGTTTTTGTTGTTGTTGTTTTTGGGTTGGTTTTATTTTTATGGAGGTCTTTTGTTGTGTGTTTTAGTTGTTTTTGGTTTTTTTTTTATGAGTTTGACTGTTTGAAAGGTACAGTTTCAAAGCAACGTGAAGGAGGAGCAGTTGGGATGCAAAATAATAAGTGTCTTATTATGAGGTCAGATAAGGTACAGCATTTTCTAAATACAAGTTGCTGTGGCTGCATATTGTCAAATAGAAGTGAGAGGATTGAGTCTTTATCCAGTTACATCAAAGCAAATCAGAGATAAATACATAATGAGGACTATCTGCTTAAATATGTAATTAATTTGGCTTGAAAGCAGTCTTGACAGTCTTTATAACAAAGTATTCTAACAGCCCTAAAGAAAACTGCAAATTACCTCTTTAAAACATAGTCCTTTGAAAAAACTGCATGTTAGGTATATCAAAAATATGAATACAAAATAAAAGGTCAGTGAAAATTACTAAAATGTTGTAATTGACACTTGGACATCCTTAAGATTGGGGATGTATTCATGAAAATATATGCTACATAATCAGAGTTTTAATGTGTTAAGTTATTCCTCACAGATGTACAAGCAGCACTTGCACGTATGTCCTTCTAGGCCATTAAAAAGTATGCAAATAAAGACCCAGTGGAGTCCTACATGGTCTATATATAGTCCTTCTACATCAAGGAAACTGAATTTTCAAAGTCAGTAATTATTATTGACAAAATTTATTTCATTTAATTTCATATGCAGTCAGAATTAAGACACTTTCTTACATTATGCATGATTCATGTTTTAATGGTTTCATGGTCATTTAATAGAAAGCTAATGGACAAGAAAATTCTGACCATAATACCAAGATAGAGAAACTGAACTTCTTCTGAACCATTAAATAGACATTACAGTATTTTTGAGAGGAAAGGGAGTTTGTCATAGTGATCTCATAGTGATATAGTGTTGATAGTGTTTCAAATATAACACCTTTTGGTCTTCTGAGTGTTTCCACAGCCTTCTTCCTAGGTTTAGTGTTATGCATACTCTTCATTAATATGAGAGCAGTAATAAAATACACAAATGTATCATCTTGTGTGGTGGTAAGCCCAGAGACCAACTGGTTTTTTAGACTACTACTGGACAAAACAAGGAAAGACTCATAATGGGTGAGAGAACTGCGTGTAATATTACTTTATGCACTAGAAAATAGGATTTACAAAACAGTGTGACTCTGAAATAATGATTGCAGAGCACATTTTCTGAGGTACACTGCTTTCACAGAATCCCTTTAGGATACAGTGTTCAAGTTGTTAATAATTTATTTAAATGCTTTTAAAACGTAATAAAAACCCATGATGTTGTTTTGAAAGTTATAAATTAACAAGTGCTGCTTAAACAAATGTACCATACATAGAATAAATGAATTTTAATCAGTCATTTTGCTTTTAATTATTCTTAGGGAGTTGCGTAGCTTGGTCATTGAGATGGTCTTGTCTACAGATATGTCGAGTCACTTTCAACAAATTAAAACGATGAGACACACTCTACAGCAGACACAGGGGTAGGTTATTTTCCATTCTCTTCATTATCTGTAGTCTTTCAATGAGCTCATATACAAGAAAAGAATTTAAATAGTTGCTTTTGTTTTGAGATAATTGGAGCATGTCCTTGAATTGACAGGGTAGACAAAGCCAAAGCCATGTCTTTGATTCTACATGCAGCAGACATAAGCCATCCAGCAAAATCCTGGGAACTGCACTACCGGTGGACCATGGCCCTGATGGAAGAATTTTTTCGACAGGTGCCATTTTTAAAATCCTTTAATAAATCCAGTTCAAGAACCAATGGTTATGCAACTAAATATTTCCATAAGTCTACCAGCAAGTTGCTGTTGGTTGTGATTGACAAGCATAGTCAGTAGCATATATTCTTTTCATACATACCACTGACATTAATTCAACTTTTGTGTGTGTGAATAAGATGAAATGCTTATAGCTTTATTTCAGCTGATACCAGAATTCTGAGTGTTGTAGTGGGGTTTTTTTCTTTCAAGTATAATATAACTTGTCAAGCTGTTTTCATTCTGTAACAGAGATTTATATATTCTTTGTGTTAAAAAAAAAAGCACCAGCAGGGTAGAATAAGGGAAAATAGGAAGAATTCATGTTCAGAGAAGGCAAAAAGTTGTCTCCATTTCACATTTCTTTTCCTTGCTAGTATCTTTTTTCTTGCTAGTGTTTGACATCCATATGCCACATAGATGTGAAGGTGCTGCTTTCATAACAGCCTGGTCCAAAGCCAGAGGTTAAACGGTACCATCCTGTTAACACTGTGGCCATACATCCTAAAACAGAAATGGAAACACAGCTTTGTGAAAGTCTTCTCATTTCTGTGAGGTACTGGATTCAGAGAGAAAACCCAGCATATGCTGGTGTCACTGCTGTCATTTTTTAACTCACCTCAGCAGGTAAAAACAAACGTATCTTCCTGTAAGCGCTATTTGTGACCATGCACATTGTCAATATAACAGTTACTGAAATATAATTGATAATCAAAATCCAATTTAGGTATTACACAGTTTCTGTAGTTATGCACAGGTTTTTAAAATGGTTAATACAGATAAGGGACCAATGTGTGTCTTGCTCAGCTTGATTGTCTTAATTGTGCTATACAATGACATTTTCAAATCAGATGGATCCCACTGGAAAAAAGAATTAGAGAATAAAAAAGACAATATGCTAAACCGTGAGTTTATTGGGCCCATCTGCTCTGTAAGGTTCTTGTTCAGTTCATGGAGATTCTTCACACAAGTTCTCATTAGGGAGGATCAGGGCATCCTTGACTCTGGGCTTTGCTCTGGGGAGGCAGAATGGAGAGCTAGTGCCTTAATCTAAATAATAAATAATTTCCACAAAAGTGAGTTTTGTGGAAATAATGAGTAGAGTCATGAGTTTTTGTTTGCTTTTGTAAATGGAAATTATGAGGATTTTGAACTTGAGAGCAAAAAGGAGGAGCAGATTGCCCCAGAAGAAAAGGTCATAAAATGACCAACTGTAAAAACATTTTAGAAAAGGAGAGACAGATTGGAGAGAGTCCATGGGACAGTGAGGCAATGTGTCCAGTCAAGTGGAGGTAGCACTAGTAGTAAACAGTATCACACTGGTCACTGAATGCATAGGATCAGCTAATATTTTAGTTCATCTTTTATCCATTCATTAAAAGTAACTGGATCCCAAATAAGCTGCTAAAAGACTTGAGAAGGCATTTAACAACAGAACAAGCAACCATGTATGTATGTCTGCAACTCAGCAGTAAAATATGAAAGTCTTCGAGGCTGCAGAGGAGCACATAAGAAACTGAATCACTCTTTATATGTACTGCTAAGAACAGTGTGTGAGGAGTAGTTCCAACACTTTTAAAGTGCCATGAAGCAACTGTATAAATGCACTGAGCGGTGTAGAAGCAGTAGGTGCACATTCCTAGATGCACTGGCTTGTTGTGCATCCTCTGGTCTCTTTGATCTGAGCCTCTGTGATAGAAACCTGTGGGATTTCCAAATGTGTGTCAGCCAAGGTGAAGTAGTCCAAATGTATATAAAACCCACTGATTCCTTCTCTTCTCTTCCTTAAGGCTAGTATTCAACTACTTCTACTGCCTTACAGGAAAAACAGCAGAGTCTGAAAGAGCAGATACAAATCCAGTGCTTTCATAGGCAGCTTTCAAAGCAGTGATCATCAGCAAAAAATGAACATTCACCTTGATAAAAACTTTTTTAAATACAGCTAGTGGTTAAAATATGTGCCAGTGTTAACTTCAGGAAAAAAAGCCTAACCACACTCTAAGTTTAAGCAACAACTACAGAAAGTTGCCAAGGAAAATCTGAGTTCCCCTTTAAAATAGAAACACAACCACCCATTTCAGACCCTTAAAAGTAAAGAAATATATAGTTCAAGTCAAAAAAAAATCACAGCTCCTACTACAGCATTCTGCTCTCAGTCTAATTAGATCCAAACCCACTAAAAGAGAGTTAAAAGTGAGTTCAAAACCTGGACAATATTTTTTTTTTTTTTTTACTGTTTTAATCTGTATCTTGATTTTAAATCTCATTAAATTTTAACAATCAATTAAAATATCAGTGCTGTGTCTATGATTACAATTTACAATAAACTTGGATTTAAATGACATTTAAGTATTAATTACTATTGTAATAATTGCAAAGTAACTTATAATTGGGGTTAAGAGCTCTTTGAAAACAAAATCAAACTCATTCATTAGTAGCATGGAAATTTCTCTTTTTTAATACCTAGTGAAGGGAAGATTACAAAATTAGTATTACTTTAGAAATTCTGTATCCAACAATGGCTGAAATTGTTAGACCTACCCCAGTTTATATTACATTACAATCTTTCATCCATCAGTTTCTGATGAGATCTTTGGGAAAATGACCTGTTCATATACTGCTCCCCACAGAATGATCACGAAACAACACTCTCCCTAACAAATGTAATGTGTAAGTTCATTTTACTTGTAAGACCAAGTTTTCCTGTATCTCTAATGACAGTGTTTCTGGAGGTCAGGTTTGTCCAGAAACACAAATTACAACCTCCTTTGGAAGATGTCTCTTCAGGGAGTTTTTTGTGCCACTAGACTTTTTTAATGAGCTTTTGTAAAACAGTTGGTCTTTTGTGCTGAAAATGGAGATACACCCTCCTGTCTGTTAAGACTGTTGCAAGAAAAAAATACTCTTCTAGTGCATTAAATGTTGAAATGTTTTCAGAACTAGGTTGTACAAATCATCTTTGTAGTGAAACTGGGCTTATACTTCTTTTGTGGCTTCAGCAGCAGAGAGGCATGCCTGGCAGTGAGAATAAGTTCAAGACAGTTCATACCCTTGACCTGATTAAGTCCATTAAAGGAATTTTACATGTTGAATGAAGCAATGTAATAGAAGGAAACATTTAGCATTTGGCATACTATTACAAACACGTCAAAGTATCTCCAGGCCCATTACATCTGAGACAGCAGAATTAAACTGTGAACATTGAAGGACTTCATATCTGTTAAATTTCACTGGCAGATGCCTTGCTATTGAGGAGAACTTTATTGCAGTAAGTTCCTTTATATGAGAATTGTCAGAAGCAAGTTAGAATTTAGGCTATTACTTTTAATGAAAATTTGAAGGTGATTTGTTCTTATTTAGGAATAAAAGTTAACAAATTAACTGAATAAATAATAAGAATATTCAGATTCCCTTGTCTCTCTGTCCCCCAATCAAATATATGTTTATAATATTAAACATTGTTGTTTGCAGGGAGACAAGGAAGCTGCTTTAGGTCTTCAGTTTTCCCCACTCTGTGACCGCAAGTCCACTTTGGTCGCTCAGTCCCAAATAGGTAATGACAAGTTCTGTTTTTCTTTTTCTTTTATGTATAGGAGCATCTAAATTCACATGAAAGTTTCATATACTCTTCTATCTTTTTTTGAATTTTAGTTGTTCAAAATTCCATTATATAGAAGGTATTTTTTTGCACCTATGTCTTCACCAAAATCAAAAGCTGTCACAGCAGAAATCTCCTGATCTCAAAAGAATGTGATGTAATTTCATTATATGTGATGCCCAGGAGGGATAAGAGAGGGATTAACCAAAGTACTGCACATGAACCCAGCTTCTACCATACACACTTTAGAGTCTGGTAGATCATGACCTCAGACTGATCATCAGGAACTTGCAGGTCTGTCTCTACTATAACCTGAAAGCCTGGTACCAGTTTATAGATACATCTCAAATAAGAACTAATTCATATATCAGATCTCTGGACTGCAATTATGCCTGTCAGTGTGTCAGGGTCAAACTACACAGGCTCAAGCCTCCATAGGTTGACAAGGACCACTGCATTCTGTCACTCAAGATATCCTTTATTCCATTTCCCTGGGATTTTAGAGGCAGTATGCTTGAGCATCATACCTACTGCAGGAGAGAAGCTGAATTCTAGACTGAATCACTGTTGCTCACCTTTGTGCTGTGTTGTATGGTTAGAGTATGAAGACATCTGGAAATCTGTTGCTAGCTCATGTTTTAACATATTTTTTTCTGTTAAGTGCTCAGGAGAGAATAATGCTTCATTCTCTCACCGTGTCATTCCATACCGTGATGAGCACTTTAAAATGTAAAAGACATTGTTCAGAGCTGACATCTCAGAACTGTGGGATAAATGCTGTCTCCTAAGGATATTACTTGTTCTCTTCACTGATTTGACAGAACCCTCCTACACACTGTGAAATAACACTTTACCTCCACAGAATAATAAACAGCAATTTGAAATATTAACTCCTTGGCAAGAAGCTCCGAATGGTAAAAGAGACAGCGTGACTTCTAGTGCTCTGGCTCAACAGTAGCTTCCCTTCTATTCAATAATTAATATTCATTTCAAATGGTAGGTGTGTTCTGCAGTGCATAAAATTTACAAGTAAAAGAATGAAAAGCTGTAATTATTAATATCTAGTTGTATCTGTACAGCTTTAACTGTTTTTTGTTTCAGTTATGCTTTTTTGTTCAAGATTATACTAGTGGTATCTAGTATATTGAATTGGGACTACAGTTAGAAAATCAGCCCCACAGCAAGCATTTATTTTTAGATTTGAGACTTGTGGAAACATAAAATCTGATTTTCTCTCTTTTTATTCTTTAGGTTTCATTGATTTCATTGTAGAACCAACATTTTCTCTTCTTACGGACTCAATGGAGAAAATTGTTATGCCTCTTATAGAGGAAGCGTCAAAATCTGAAAGTCCTGCATTTGGGACACCCAGGTATGAATACACTGCTTAATTATTGAACTAACTAACATAAGCTCACATAATAATGTTATTCTCAGAGTTATCTCAATTATTTTAAATTGGGAAAGTAACATAAATAGCTGTACCGTATTGCCACCCTGTGGTACTACATTGTATTTGCAATGTGCTATTACTCTACTGACTGAACGACTGTGTGCATAAAAAGGCAGAACCACAATAGCGATCAGAATAAACACATGCAAAATAAGAAATCAATTTTCCAATTTTTAAATATAATCTTTGCAATAGATTATTGAAATTCCTAGGTCTCTTATCTTAAACCATTTTCAGTATCATTTTAATTGACAGCACCAAAAGTCATTCTTGTGTTTGGGAGAGACAACTGGGAATGGAGGTGATGATGAAGATGGTTTCAGGTTTTTTCTGTTCTTTATTATGAGGCAGGTCACTTTCCCACTTCAGCTCTCCATGTTAGTATTATTTCATATGTACACTTGAGACAGAATTGGTGACACTTATATTCCACTTGAAAGAACTAAATAAGTGAGATGGGGATGGGGGATGTTGCACATCAAGCTCATGATTTTTTATCATGGTAGAAGTTGTATATAAAGCCAACTAGCTATGAAAGCGTAATCTGAGTGACTCTGTGCTGAAAGCATTTTTGGATAATCAGATCCTGCCTTTACAAATACTTGCTCTGTCACCACTTTTTTTTACTTTAAACTGTAATTTGAGATTTCAGTGAGGCTATTAATATGATGAATCTGCAGGGCAATTTTTCACTTGCTGGGCATTAGTTAGCTTCTAGTAACAAAATAGTGAACCTACCTCTTTATTTTGACTACTAGAAGTAAGCAGAAATTACTAGAAGTAGGTGTCTATGACCATGTTCTTAGTGTTTTGGGAAGCAATGTCAAACAAAGGTATTATTGATAACAAATTTTGTTTACATACTCACTTCTTCACAAATGAGGGATTAGCAGCTGCAAATGATTAGCAGCTCCATGCTTCACTTTTGGTTCATGTACATGACTGAGTCATAGATGAACAAAGGCTTATCATCCAGCAAAACTTCCTCACATGAAGTGGAGGATAAAGGGATTTTTTCTTATTATAGAAACAAGAGCCACACTTGTGAAAAGAATGGAGAGACTATAGCATGATACAAAAAAGTTTGAGCCAGGAGAGTTGCACAAACACCACTGAGTGGATGCCATGAATGTGATATTCACAATGGTGCCTGGGAAATGTTAGGATTATAATCTATTCTTTCCATTCTATCCCATTCAACATCACTGGAGCATATGGAAGTTACAGTTAACTCTTCTTGTAAAGTTCTCAATGCAACTATTTCCTGCTTAATGAAAAACTATTTGTATACTTATTACCATTTGTCTCTGATACTAATGAGATAAATTATGCAGCATAGTCAAGTAAACAAAACCTATTAAGACATGATCACCTGTACAGGGGTGGAAATAAATCTGATTTTTTTTAATCTCAAGGAAAAAAAGAGTGTTCATTATTTTTTCCCACCTTTACATGTATATACATATATGAATAATCAATCTGACTTCTACCTTACCTTACATATAAAGTAGCTGCAGCTGCTGTTTAGTGAATTTTAAAGCCACTGTACTAAGTCCTGCTTTGACTACACTTGAAGGCATGCAGCTGGAAGGGGATTTTCAACTCAGGCAAAACTTACCTGTCATATAGTTTCATCTCTTCCTTTTATTAACTGGGTCAAAAAATAACAATCAGATATCTCTCCTATGAGCCCCAAAGATACAATTCACTATCCACTCAGCTAAGAATCTGCTCCAAAGCGGCTGCATAAACATTCTTTCAAGAATTGGCTTACAAGTAATGTATTTTCACCTGCAACTTTTTTTTTCAAAAATTTTCTGGAAAGATGTTGGTAAGACATCTTGTATCTTAGGCACTCTCTGGTGAAAACTATTATTTCAAGTTAGTTCCTAAGCAACTTGATTCAGATTACCTGTTTTTATATTATTAAAATTGCCTGACTGTGTTCATAATTTGGGGTTTTTTCCCTTTTGCAGCCAAAATAGTTTGGGAGCAGTAAGCAATGCTGAAGCACAAAGACGACCTGGTTTTAAAAGCACAGGTGATGGAGGGACTCATGCAGAAAATTCTCTAGCAACTGTAGACCTAAGGAGCTTTAAGGACAACTTGATGAAGATCATTCAAGCAAACAAAGAAAGATGGAAAGAATTAGCAGCAGAAGGTATGATAGATTAAGGTGAAATGTTTTAATAGATTACTCCATAATATCTCACCTACTTTCATTTTTAATTTCATTTAACCTGCAAAAATACATAGTTTCCTTGTATTCGTATATTTTATGTCCTAATGTTTGTTTAGGTGGTCTTGTTTTGCACTCCCAGGAGATAAAAGAGATGTAGGTGGTTAGGGTATAAGAGTAAATCCTATAGCCTGTACAATAAGGCTTTGTGCTGCTCAGCTTATCTTTAGAGATTTGGTTTATAAATGTGCATTCTTGCACATTTAATTGTAACTGATACTGACATCTGCTTTAAATGCCAAAATCAACAATTCAAAGTACTGTGTGCTGCCTCATTTCTTTAGAAATGTGAAAGTTGCACTTTGCTATTAGAAATGCTATTTGTTCCCCACTGTATGGAACAAAATTCAGTATTGCAGGCTTCTTTGGACTATGCTGTAGGCAATTATTTAAATGACCCAGTGAATCTAAAGATTTGAGCAATCACTACACATATTAGGCCCAAACAAGGCAAAAAGGGACTCTTCATTTACCAGTAGACCGTTAATAAAGCCAAACCTGCATCAAGACTCTTAGTTCATAAGCCATACCTGAAAATTGTCTGGAGTTACGGTTATCTGAGGGAAATGTTTTGTGGTAATTGTTGAACTGAATTTATAGCTTTGATCCTGATTCAGTGAATGCCATTTGGGAATATGTTGTCCACAGTCTATGTTGTTTCTGAGTAAGTACCTGGAATATTTCAGCATAGCATTTCACTGCTGTCACTGGTCTTACTGTACGTGACCTGATACTGACAGCTGGGAATGATATCCTGGAACCAGTGCCAACCTTGTTTTTCATCCCATCATCCAAATCAACATCTTTTTTTCTCAAAGAGGTGCCAGACAAGACAGAGAAACAGTGCTGAACGGTGATAAAATCTGATTTAGTGCTAAATTGCAAATGAATATTCTCATTAGGAGGATATTAAGAACAAGCTTCCATATATCTTTTGTGACAAGGACTTGAGAGTTAGGTAGAAGAGGCAGCTCAGGAGAAGACTTGACCCTTCTTCATGAGTATCTTCATAAAATTAATTGTCTCCTTTAGTCTTGCCCAACTAATACTAACTGGTCAAAAGGAGAAAGCTGCTAATTTGCAGTGATCAGTGATAACAGCAGACCATCAGAGTGTCCAAGGCCGCTTAGGTATAGCCTGCAGAAACCAATTAGCCCTGAGCTAGGGACAAGCAACGTCCTTCAACATGGAAGAATGGAGAACTTGTTATCTGGAAGTTTGCCATTTCCAGTTACATGTAACTAACTGGATTGATTCTGCTACATCAGCTTTATGGTATATTGTTTTGGAGGTGTACAGTGCTATCAAAGAGCACTGTTGTTTCTCCTTCATTCCCAGTTCTTTGTAGGCCTCTATAAATTAGTGATATATTTAGCCCAGTTTTACTGGGCTTTTGACAGCCATTACAAACACAAAGCTTCTCACAGCAAGAGACTTAGGCATTCTTCTGGGTAACATTGTTTCTCTATGAAGTCAATATAAATGTGAGGCCGAGCAAAATCCTGAAACTCTGGGCATGCTTTCTACTGTGAAAAACAAAGATGCTAATGTTTAGACTCTATGGACTTTATTGAGATTGTGGTTGTCCTAAACTTCTTTTCTTCCATCAAATTGACTAATGAAGTATGCCTAAGTATTTCCTGAAAAGAATTATGGAATTATAGTAAAATGTACATTAGGAAATCTAACAGGTAGATGAAAATAGCTGATGTTGAGGTCAGAGCACGATAAACAGTATTGCCTCTGTGTGATTGTGTCTGAATCTGGTCTTTTAAACCTCTGTGTGAGGAAGAGATTTATAAAAATCTGCTCTCATAAAGATGGTGTTGCAGCAACATCTGCAGTTGAGTGAAGCATAGCGTAGAGGCCTTCAGGGTGCCTAGTTAGACTCCAAGAGGAACCTTGCAAATAGTGCAAATGCTTTTGAGTGCACATTTATATTTTGTTAGCAAACAGATAAAAAGTCCTTTTTTTATAAAAGCTGGGGAGGGGTATTATATGGGTTTTGTGAAAGCTATTCTATTTTCCATTCATTTGGAATGGAATATGTGAGTCCATAGTCCATATGTGGGCCTAAAGGACTGCTGGAAAGGAGTTTTCCTCTAAGTGAATGTAGCTGTTTATAGAGCACTAGCTGAGGTAGCACACAAGTTCCTTGTCACAGAATGGGAGAGGGAATCTTCCCTAACTGGTCCAGTATATCTGCTCTGAAGCTGCACCCTGCAAAGGCAGATTAAATCCTTAATCAGACTGTGGAAAATTAACATCTAATAAAGAATAAAAAATATGGCAATACATCACCTTGCCACTTGAAATTCTTTTCAGATTACAGTCAAATTTGACTAAACCTGTAAGTGAATAACCTGAGACCTTGAACTTCAGATAATTAGACCCATCCTGTCTGGATCTCATGTCGCCTTCTCTGACTCTATTGCTCAATGAAAAGTCTTTAGGTTGCTCTGAACATATGTATGGAGTTTTGTTTTATTCATAGGTTTGTAGGAGCACATACCAAGAGAAGAGATGCCAGGGATTAATCACTGCCAGGTGAAAAGAGTATTGTTATTGCTATCGTTGTTCCTAGCTAGATAATCTATGACAAGTCACAAATTGCTGAGCACACTGAGGAAGTCACATGTATGAGAACAGCATGTTGTGGTAGTAAGCAGGCTGTTAGTGTAGATCATCAAACACACTTCCTGAACTGACTGTGACAAACAGAACGTGTGCCGTTAGAAGAACCATCTGCATTCTTGTCAATGGGCTCGGCAAACATTAGATATTGTTCCCAGATTAGCTCAGAGGCTCAGGAGAAGCTGGCTCTATAAAATGTAGTACTACAGATGCACAAGGAATGTAGGAAGGAAACTAGCAAAAAGTCTATATAATTTCCAGAGGATGACCTGAACTCATTCCAGCTTCTCACCTTTTTGGGATAAGGCTACTCATGTAGCACTGGTTGGGAGGCAGTTCAGCTGGAGCACACTCTCCCTTAGCAAGGGTTGGAGAAGGTGATCTGACTCCTTTGCCTAGACAGTCCAGACCAGAAGACCAATCCCCACTGACAGTGTTGTTGACAGGGCATCTTTCCTGGAGATGCTGGTACTACCTCCCCCTGAAAAGATAGTTGCTGTTGAGTCTTGATTTAGAGTAAGCAGCTTGTGCAAGGAATAGCGTGCTTTGTTTTTGGGAAGTCTTGTGTTAGTAAGGAAGGCATTTATCTACCTAGGCAGCTGTTTGAAAGCTTCCTTAACAGAAGGCTCAATAAATAGGTTGGCTCCACTTTGCTAAAAAGGCCATGTCTTGTATAATTGATGCAGAGGAGCTCAGTGCTCTATAGCCTAAGGGTCTTCAACCTTTCACCACTGGAGAATTAGAGGAATGTTTCTCAGGCCTTTCAGGGAATGCTGTTAACAGGGAATTACCATAATGATCAAACATTTGGGATTCTAATTTGAAAGCCTTGATGTTTAATTAATATTCCAAGCCCCAATCACCAGATAATCTGTCTTTGTTCAACTCAGCACAGTGATAAAAATACTGTTGCATCCTGTGTTTTTTTCAGCACATACTGTTGATGGCTGCTGCTGTTTGCAATTATGGTAGTTGTAGCAAATAGACAGTAAATATGCTCAGATGAATCTAAGAGGTTCTTTCATTAGAGAAGATGTTTGCTAAGCAGATTTTAAGGTCTGAAAGTTATAGACCTACTGAGAAAGCTATAAGAAACACAAAACTCATGGAGAAAGATTTAACTATTGTGTAAGATCCTTTATGGTGCAGTTCTTAGAACATAGAGAGATTATAACATAATAATTCAATATTTTTAAAATACAATGTTTATTCCCTATGCTTACAATTTTTATTTCTTCATGCTTAGATTGTCCTATAAAAGTGTTCCCAAGGTTTACTAATAAAGTTGATCTGTGATTGGAAAACTCAGTACTCTTAACAGAGTGTCAGGGTATGGTCTAGTAATCATGCTTACCATCTCTTCAGTAGATATCATTGTAAATAAAGTTACAGGGATTAAATAATTATTTTCACTTTACAGTCAACAGAAAGAGGCACAGGCATCTTAGGCACTCACCTGAGATTATATAATAACCCAAGGGAATGCAGCACGCACACCAGGAGTTCAACTGCCAGTCAAATAGGCCCATCGTTGAAGTGTGCTAACATTCATCTTCAGGATAATACAACAGCAGTTACTTGTTCTCATTTTATGCTTACGTAACTCTTCTAAAGGATTAAGTATCACAGGACCTGACCAAAGGTTGCACTATTCATAATCAGTGACAAAGGTCCTCAACACCCTTTGGCAGTGCACTAGGCTGCATGGCTTGAAAATGTGTACCTGGTTTGACTGACCTCATCCAGGTGGGCTGAAAAATATGAGAATGAACGAGTCTCTGACACTGTCCTCTGCCTCATTTTGATAGTAAAAATATGAAAAAATGACAACTATTGCATCTTTGGAGTAGAGATCAGCTTTTTTTCCCCCATGGGCAGCAGTTTTGAATAACAAATATCTCTTCTGAAAGCCCTCTGCATAGAACCTGCAGGCTCCCCTCGGGCACTTTCATTCCTGCATACTTCCAGTCACAATAACCACGGGGTTCAGTTCCATTTTGCCTGAAAGATTTTCTCTGCAGACTCACTAATAAGAAGAGAGTAGCAGCTGCTGAAATGTGAAAATCTGAGAGTGATAATCTGATAGCATGTTAATGTGATTTAGCAGTCGCTAGGAAGGGTGGGCAGTAGGAGGATGTGTGTGACAGTTACAGAGTCTGACTGACAGTTTGGCACATGAAATCTACCCTAATGGACTGTTTTAATCTGTTGGAGAAAAATCAATTCAGGAGGGTGAAGGAGTCCCATCTACTATCAGTGACAGTGATTTTAATTGCTGTGCTAAAATGCTTAGGTCATAGGCAGTTTTTGAGCTAATTCAGAAACGTGTTAAGATCAGTGAGAAAAGGAGCGTTGTCTGAGTATGTGCAATGAATGGGTTGAGCTAAGAGTAGGAAGAAACAATCAGTATTGGCAATATTTGGTAAATTGCAGATTAAAGAATGATAACTGACCTGATAATGGAACCTGTTTCGTATCTCTCTGGAGCACACAACGGAGAGCTAGCCCACCTCTGCATATGACAATCTACATGATTTAAAGCATCTTTTCCCTCTAGTGTGCTCAGAGCAGAGCTGCATGTCTCTTCCATTCCTTGTACCGAAAGTTCCAGCGTTCAAGCCTCTGTGTTTACAGCTAAAACTGCAAAAGAGAAGTAAAAGGAAGAGGTAGCAACCCTAGGAAACCATAAACTCCCAAATTATTTTTAATCAAATCCTTTAGTGAAAAGTTTTGGTAGCTAATTAGGTCTGCTACTTTTTCTATGTGACATAATGCTGCAACATTAAGTGCCACTGGATTACATGGTTTGCAGTGGTTTTATAAACTTCTATATCTGTGATGAAGTTTGTGGAGGGAGTTGAAAGAGGAAGGAATCAGTGTTTAAATAAAGCTGTAGGTTACTGCAATATTTTATTTGGTTTGAAAATGGCAGATTGGTTGGGAAAAATCACAGTTGTTTGGGAACTTTGGGACATTTCTTTAAACTTACTGGGAATTCCAGAGGCACCAGGACAAGTCCTCACATTTTCTGAAAAATTTTTATGCTTTGTGCTGGTCTCTTCCCTTTCTCCTTAAAACAGGTGATGTGCAAACACGTCCTTTAAAATGTTGCAATTCCTTCCCATATTGTCCTGGTTTTGGTCATTTGTCACTGCTTCCTGGAATTTTGTTTACAGTAAAAAAGAACAAAACTAGAAATCAAAGTTTAGGGTAATATACACAGAGAGTCCATAATATCCAGCAACATTCTTCTTTACAGAGTCCTCAAATAATTTAATTCTTAGTGAAGATGAACAGCTTTCCTCATTAATTTAGTAGTTTTCTAATTGTTAAAACTTTCATGTCATTATGTCTTTCTCTAAGGGAAAGTTATGGTAGCTTATTTTTAAACACAACCAATGAAAATAGCAATGTAATTCAGCAGATACTTGTTTTACTGGAGTTTAGTGCTGTGGCAGTCACTGCTGGTTTGAGATGCCCTAATTACACATGGCTTTTGTTCTTCCTCTCCACTCCTTTTAAGTCAGTACATGCTGAAGTGATGCAGTTGCTGTCAACAGTAAGGTGTTTTATAAGCCCTGTACAGTACAGATGATGGTAGTTGAATGCTCTGTTTCCTCACAGAAAGGTGAGGAAAAGAAAGTTGATGGCCAGAAGAGAAAGTTCAAAAATGTAGCAAAACTTCCTCACCCATTAGACTGCGTCCTGAAAGTGTTGCTGCAGACACAGGCAATAACAGAGCAGAGCTGGCAGCAAGTAGTGTTGTAGTTGATAATGCAGACTCTCCAGAGCTTCTGCAGCAGAGCATTCATCCTTTGGAGACAACAGAGCCCTCCAGCACAGTGCTAGAATACCAGCATTTTTCAGCTATTCTGAAATTTGGCTGTTGCCTTATGAGTCCTGCCAGTTTTCCAAACAAAGCAATGCATAACAAGTGTTTTGCCAACAGCCCAGCCTAAACACAAGGGAAGAACCACTCAACTTCTGTCTTGTTTATGTGTCAAATGCCACTGTTCTTCTCATAAAAGGACTGTGATTTAAGACTGAAGTTCAGAAACGGCACAGAAATATAGAAGAGCGGAATAAGATGGAGTCACCCCTAACAGATTAGTTAGGAGAAGCCATTTGTTTTATAGATGAATTCACACAAATTTTTCTGAATTTGCTCAGATTCTTGTAAAAAAAACATTACCAAACAGTTGAATATATGTAAACAGGCCTGGCTTCTGGCACTTTTACCAAGTTAAAACTAAGAAAAGCAACAGTAAAACATACCCTGAGTTCACTGCACTTAACAATGCACTTCTCCCTGCCTTTATCTGAATGGATATGATAACACCTAAGCTGTTTTCAGTGCCTTACTGACCCAGCCCCAACACCCCCCCAACCCAAAAAAAAAAAAAAAAAAAAAAAAAAAAGAGGAATTTTTCTGAGGTGGTTGTTTAATCTTATTTACCATATTCATCTATTTACTCTTACTGAATATTGTCAATGGTGTAAATGCCAGATTACCTTGTTCATTTAACATACCCTCTTTCTTTTTCTGGCTGGTCATGGCAACATGTGCCCATAGGAAAGGGGGAGTTTGCTCTTCCCAGCAGCCCAGTGCCTGGTGAGGGGCAGCAGCCTTGCCACTTCCCTTGGAGGATCCTGGCTGTTAGTGGCTGGTTGGAAATAGAGACTACCACAGTATTTGTTGCAGTTCTTACTGTGCAACATCAGGCCAACTCCATTCTCTCTTATACTCTTACAGTATGTAAGTAGTATAACTTACCAGTGCCTTGACTGAATTTTAGTTATTTGGTCACTGTCCCTGTCTCAGCCTCATTTAAAGACCGCTGGCTAATTCTGTTTCATCAGAGTGATAGGACAGCAGAAATTAAAGAAAATGCCAATGATGATATGCAGTATAAAAATCTTATAGAGTATAAAATTATTAGCTGTTACAGAAATCAGAAATCTGTATTTTGCCAGCACATAGAACATATTTCACAAGTGGCTGACATAGCACAAGAACCCAGTATTTTTCCTCTTTTTGGCAGTGGATTTAATAGGTTTTGAAGCTGAGTGGAGCAAAGCAAGGCAGAACATAGAGTCAGATATCCAGCAGGTGAGAGACTTAATATCAAGAAAAAGGACTGGGGTTCTTAATCACAGTTGTGATATCATCATAGAGGATTTTGTACTTGAGGCTTCTCAGTCTCAATAACTCTTAGCAACTGCTACTGGTAGTTGAGCTGCTAGGGTTGTTCTGAACAAACTCTTCCCAAGTGGACAAGCTACTTTTTTTTCAAGCTTTTTTAACTGAGAATGACTTTGAAATTTAGTCAGCAGGGAATCATAATCACAGATATTACTATCATCATATAAAAACTATTGTTTAGCAATGGTTTTAACTCCACAGATTTTAGAATTCCATGGTATTTTTCACACTTAGAAAAGATAATATTTTTCTCACCTATTCTTTGCTACTGACTTCTGGAACAGTCTCACAGCAGTTTAAGTGCAATAGGCATGACACTTAACTATTATGTTATCAAGCATATCTTGGTGCAGAAAAACTCCGTTTCAAAGCTCTCTCCATCAGATATGCATAGTCCTGAGTTAGAGTTTGGCTCTATTTTAGGTATCCGTAAACAGGCATATTTGAGATCATCTCAAGGACAGTAATAGAAATTAGAGAGCAAGCCATCAGAGCTGTTATATTAAACTGTCAATCTTCATTTGCCAGTTTAAGTTTGGTAGGGAGTGAATGAGAACAATTTTCAGTTTAGATATTCAGATTCATGAACCAAAAATATAATACTGGGTTTTGCTTGAATGAATATTCTGAGCCTTCTAATATGAGAATAAAATGATCAGTCATACAGTTACACCACGACAAACCTGAATTCTGTTTAGAATCATCCTAAAAAAACATTCAATGAGAAAACTACTGTCTCTTCTCTCTAGCTTTCTGGTTAAAAAAGCTCACCAGGGTGAACTACATTGACATTACACTTTAATGTGTGTTCATAATTCAGCTTTTCTTTCTTTAACTTACTGATGTATCTGAACAGCATTTAAAATATTTTGGATTTTAGTTTCCTTGTGTTTTTTTATGAAGTTAAGGAAAAATGCTTGTTGCTCTGCCATTTGGATGTAAATATAGCAAGTAAATCACTTTCTTGGGAAAAAAATTCTTGGGTAGGTAGATTAGATAATGAATGACAAATGCTTTAATTAACATATCTAGATTGAACATAATTTGCATCAAATTCCATATACATATTTCTTAGTGGTTTTAGCCCAACCTCTTGTTTGTAAGAACGGCATTGTAATCTGTAGAAAAAAGAGTACCTGTCCAAATTTCAGATTTGGAATCCAAAATAAGCAGATCTCTAAAGCTGGGGGAGAAATGGCTTAACAATTTAGAAATTGCTCAAGTTTTGAAGTTCTCGATTAAAAAAAAAATACTAGAAAGTATAACTGACAAAAGAAGGAAATTATTTAGCTATTCTGTGCTTCTGCATATCAGTTCAGGTTTGGAGGTGTTCCTTTCAGTCCTATTTCATGGAACTTTTCTCTGGATTCAGAAAAGTGAGGTGGTGCCAAATGATGATATGGTAAAAATATGCTTACAGTCTCGGCTATCTTTGAGTTGTCATCTTTGAGCTGTCAAATTCTGGTCTGAATTTGGACTGGTCACTCAAAATCAGAGTTTCTGGGAGCTGCCAGTTGAACTCAATAAGTATCCCAATGTTTGGTTTCCTTCCTTAATATAGTGTGCACATCCAAGTTAGAAATTTTATGCAATATCATACAGCTGCTTTGTGCAAATGTTGCTCAAACTGCAGTTGCTTTCATTTTTTTAATTGATAGCATTTGGTATATTCTATATGAGTATACAGATTTTAATATTTAAATTTATGAAATACAGATTATTATAGCAAGAGAAACAGGCTCTCCATGAAGATGATACTTTGTTGTTGTTGTTGTTGTACTCTTCACCTGCCATCACAAGTTTTCCATTTTCTGTTTTTTTTTCATCTTCTAGTTACTCCTTCTACTATCTCTCTGTGCTGTGCTGTTCTGTCTCCTTTTACTCTGGGCCATTTAATTTTTATTGTTCTCCAAATCTCTGCAATATAGCAAGTAGAGCCTTCCAAAGACATTATTTTTTTGGGGTTGCTGCTTTCCCCTGAAGTGCAATTTCCCCCATTCTGTATTTGCTATTAGCCATAATGGTAGCAGCACTGGATAGCACATGTGTAACCCCCTATAACTTGTTCCAGCTGAACCTCTGTATGAGCTGATGCTTTGGATTTTTCCAGGCTGACAGGCCGATTTCCGTCAGGGCTTCCCTTCAATTCTGATGCTTGCCTCATCCTGAGCAAGGTGCTCCCCTCCATGCCCTCTCTCTCTTGCAGAAGTGATGAGCTCTGCACTTTCTAGTCCTGTAATGGTAAGCACTACTGCAGGGGGACATGCCTGCAGCATGGGGTCCTCCTGCTCCCATCCTTCAGGTTACCATGTGTCTGATGATGCTCTTTGCTCTGTATTATGGCCACAAAAAGAGGTGCACCAAACCAGAAAGAGGACCACTATGGTTCAGTTGCAGTAGTGCAAGCAGAAGCAGAATCTGAGCCATATTAAACATAGTGGTGGGCATGCCCTCATGTTCACAGTGTTCCCATGTGCAGCTCTATGTGCCACTACTCTGAAATTAAAAAATGGTGACATATCCTTCTTATCTAATTCACCTATTTTGTTCCCTCTTTGTAGAACTTGTGAAAAATGTTGGTGAACAGGAAAAAGACCAAAGCAGAAATTCCACAGATGCACAGTTACAGGAAGAGACAACAAAGATACAAAATGAGAGTAGTCAGGGAAGTGATGGTACAACCTGTCCTCCCAGATCCATCGTCCTACAAGTAGTCTCTTTCGACACTCCTCTGAGTGATGAATCCAACTCAGAGAAACGCACTAACTCTGATCCGAACCAGAAAGATCTCACCGATGCCCAGCAAGAAACACAGAATGCAGACCCACTGAATGGTAATGCATCATCTCACAACACCAGCCAGTCTAATGAAGCTGCCCAGGGTGAAGCTGCAGCAGTGTCTGGTATCTCCCTGTCAAACATCAACAGTAATGTAAAATATTGAAATAAGCTGTTGTACAAACCACCAGCATAAGACAGTTTCTTCGGCATGTGTAAAAGTACTAGCGTTCTAAAACCATCAAGAAGCTGTTTGATATAAAAAAATATCAACTTTTTGATATCAGCTAATTGGTATCCACTAGAAAAGTTTTTACATAATATACTTTAGTTGAACCGGAAGAATGATTTTGGAGTAATTTAAAGACACATATTTGAAATTAAATAGCCCTTTGCTACTGGAGAATAAGGTAAACTTTCAAATTAGAGCTATCCAAACATTTTCTCTTTGAATAGGTAATTACATTATTAAAATATACTCCTCTTAGTTTAGGCACCAAATATGATTGTTATGTTGTAAACCACATCCTTTGTACTAAATGTAGTGTGAATCTTAGAGTTAAGGTAGATGGAGTTTGCTGACTGTAGTAGTCATGGGACTGTGTCGTTCTCTTAATCAGGAGAATCAGTCTCCTGACTGTAGCAGCAGGACACGCGGAGCATCCAGAAAATCCCTAAAATGTCGAAGTATGTTTTTAGTGTGCAAGTATATTATCATCAGATGAATATGTTTAGTATCTGGTGATTGCAGCACAGTATCAAGAAAAAGATGCCCAAGCAATAGGAATAGATGTTATCAAAGGAAGAGAAAGACACTGCATTTTCATTTTATTTTCTGAGTTTGTTTATAGTTAGAATAAACTTTGAGATATTAGGTTTATAAGAATAATCAAGACATATAATGACACTTCTATTCCTGACTTTTAATTAAAATGCGAATCTCATTAATGCGTTTATGACAGTAAGCCTTGCAATATTGTGCCAGGAGTATGGCATTGTCTGAGCAGCAACACTGAAGTGCTTGTAAGGCTTAGCTTAGACATGAGTATATGACTTGGCGTGCTTCTCCTAAGAGCTTTTTATGGAGAACACCCACTTATTCTAGAGTTCCGTGTTCCAGGGCTCCATGCTTTTATTGTTGACAGGTTTTTTTCCATCAGAAATAACAGATGGTTAATTTAGGGTCCTACATCAAAATATTTACACTAAAATTATTTTCACACCATTTGAAGCTGTCTAATAACTGACATTTTTATCTTTTGACATGTAACACTAGTTTTTGTATTAAAGCCCAAATTGAAATTAAAGTGCCTTAGGAAAGTTCTCCATCTCCTGGATAAGGAACACAGTGGGAAAAACTGCAGACTCTGCAGAAGACAGTGGTGGTATAGCTGTCCTTGTAGATCTTTAGATGGCTGACCAACAAAAATGGTGTTGGAGAGATCAGATACAATTCAGCATGCAATCAGTTCACTCTGTTGCCTTGTCAATCTTTATACTCCACCTCTCCAGTGATAACAGAGATTTCTTATCTTAGAATTTGCTAATCTCATTTGTTTTCTAACCCAGGGAGTTTTCTGATGTTCATTCACTAGAGATGGCAATATTCAAAAAGAGTTCAGACTAACAATGCAACAGAAATAAGAGTTTAATTTAATATTCTGTGAAGCTAAATAGTATTGGTAAGGTCCTGAACTAAAAACCAGGGCATTTACAAAGAGGACATTGCTCAGCAGTAAATGGAAACATACAGCAGGAGACATAACTGCATTAAGTGACTAATCACATCATAAGAGAAGCATTCTTTATTATTCTTTAGGCAACTGCAGAGGCTGAGCAATGAGCCAGTGCCCCTTTACTGGGATCCCCACACTTACATCTCCACATCTTGCAGGTTTTGCAGCACACATCTCAGTTGCTGCTGATTCCACAGAAAGTTTTGGTATAGAAATACAGGTTTCTTCACTGAAACTACTCATCTATATGAACTCCTTTACAAGCTGTGCTTTTTCCTGCTGGTGAAAATGTGTAGAAAGTAGAGGCTACTGCTCATGCCACTGATTGAACACATGTTCAGCAGTTGTAAATCCTTTTCTGAACAGGTCTTCAAATTAGTTTGAAAATTGTTCATCTGATACAGTTTGTGAACAGAAGTAATCATTAATTCTTGGTGTTATCGTGAGAGATTATATTGGTAAAATGCTGTTGTCATGGTAAATTCAGAGAATTTATGCATTCCAAATTATGTGGATCACGTGTTCTAGAATAGAGACTTTCCCCCTATTTAGACCTTAAAATCCTTAAAATTTTTCTAGTTGAAATGTGCATCCCTGGTCGGACAGCTTAAGCCTACAGAAAGCACGTTTGCATTTCTTTCAGTCTCATGAACCCTTCCTGTATCCCCTCATAAGTAATTCATAGTCCCTCAAGTCAGAAAACCATTAGATGAAACTGGATTTCTGATTTACATTATCACAAATTTTTACTGGAGTGCTACTATACATAGAATAAGGGTATTGATTAGGTGTTGTTTTTAAAGGCACCTGATATTTGAAGGCATTTTTAGTTGTTGTTTTATGCAAAACATCTGGTCATTGTGGCATGCTGAATTTGCTCTCATCCATCTCCTTCAATGATTGTGTTCCTTTTTCAGCATAGATAAATATCCAGGTAAAGGGAGATCTTGATGAATGTTTTGCCTTGTTTCTGTAGCATATTAGTGTCAGAATCCAATACTCTCTGACCTTTTAGATATTCCACGCATGAAGTGTGTAATATTTAATATCAAATTTGCCTGTTTGAAGATAGTTGAGGTTACATGGGATTTCTGTTTTATCAGTGATGCAAAATGTACTGAAAGAACACTACAAACAGAAGTTACACAGCAAAATAGAGCAGACATAATACATCATAGTGCTCATGTGAATCCCTTTACTAGCACTGGCCTGAAGCAGCCAGACTTTCTACATACTCATGGTGAGACTCTGGTCCTGGCTCTTTGAGATAGTATTAAATTATTGAGTTTCAACAGTTGCAGAAACTGTGCCATCATGTAAGAGATAACAGAAAAAAAAGGCTATGCAGGCATTTAGTATTGGAATAGTTGGCAATATTCCATACCAAAGGGAAAAGTCAGGCTAAAATGTTTCAGTTTCTTTTTTACAGTGGTAAAATGCTTTGCTATCATTCTAAGTGGAGAGAAGCCATTAAGCCATCACTGTGGTTGTCTAAATGTAGGTACTTAGTGTTATTGAAGAGTTTTTGTTGCTGCATTGTATGTAGAAGCCTCATAGCCTCAAACAGCACAGCAGTCTGTTTTCTCACTCCCCCCCCCCACTTTTTCTCAGTATAAGCTGTGTTTGAGATGGTCAAAGGAGAGTGTGTTGTGCATGATGCAGTAGCACTCAGCACAGAAGGGAGATATAGCACAGGTAGCATCCCCACTTTTCACTAAAGTTGGTGGCCAGTGGATCTAGATAGGACTCTTTTAACCAAGGTCAGACATTTTCAATGGAATGTCACTTCAAGCAAGCAGAAGGCAGCATATATGTGACCTTACATTTTTAATCTGTTTCACAAATTAGAGTTATTCTGTGCTCTAAGAGACACTGTACATCTATCAGAACATTACTGGCACTCTCCATGCTCGACTCTTCTGCTTGTGTTCTTTCTGTACTGAGGATTGGGGGGGTACAAGGCTAAAGTGATGTCCAGAGCGCTTGCTGACTCCCAGGGTGGAGAAGTGAGCACCTGTATATGCTGGGACTGGGAGAATGAGATAGGAAGGAAGAAGAAAAGAAACGTGGTTATTCATATTGAAATTTCATATTTTACCTGTTATTGCTCTGCCTTTTATAAAAAGCAGAAAATTCAGTAAAGTTTTTTTTGGAGTAAGTGATTCAATTATAACAGAGATGGAGAACATGGGAAAATGATGTGTCTGCATTCTTGGGCACTGTCAATGAATGTTTGGATGTGTATAATGAGGGTATTCCCCATTAAAAAAAATTTAGAAAGAGACTGTTTTCCTCTCCTTGTATCACATCTCTTTTTAGGTGCAGTCTTGTAGTTTAGTAGTAATTAGTAACAGGAATAGCTCTGCCCTGGGTCCTGGTCAATGCAAAGGGAGAACCAGAGGGTTGCTGTAAGAAGTACTGCAGTCATCTCATTTTCATTTAATTGAATGGTACAAGATTAAGTGAAACTATTATATGGTGGAGTTTTTTTAAAGTGATGATCTTCCTTTTCTCCTGAGTGATTTATTAATTAGAATATTAATTTTAAAAACTGCTTATGTTTAATTAAATGACTCCACATTTCAATGATTTATAAATGTTAATTGGTACACTTTTAACTTCTCACTTGTAGTGATAGCCACACTAATCCTTAATACCAAAATGCAAGGGAGATAATAAATCTATGAGAAAACAGATTACCAGTAATTTCACTCTATATGACAGCAGAGGACTGCCCAGTCACGTTGGGTGTGCGAAACATTCAACAACATCAGCAGGCAGTAACTGAGAGCCTCTGGAGAGTAAACAGCTTAAATAGCAGTGGACTATCCACCCCAACAACATGCTAGTTTGATTTATGGGAATGCAGGTGGCATCAGATCATCACCCGTGCCATGCAAATGCCCGCTGACCGTTCAGTGCCGCTGTGGCTTCCTGGTGCTCAGCTGAGTGGGGAACCCTTTGCAGCTGCACAGAGCGGGCACGGATTGCTGTGCTGCCTCGATTGCTGAGCATTCCTTGGGCACAGTGCATGGCTCAACAGGGCAGCAGGATTCTGGTACTGAGGGAAGGCATTTGTGTTCATGCATAGGATAAGGATGGAGGGAAGGTTAGATTAAAAAAGGAAATGTGTTTATAAAAAAGATGGGGTTTATAAAATAACAGCCATTAGTAACCATTCAAGGGGCAGATTTTATCACATAAGAAACCTAATGCCCGAATGGGAAGAAAGCTATATGTCTTAAAAGTTAATTCTTAGTTTTATGAAATTTAAATGCACAGAGATTTTGTTTTAAGGTCTCCCTAAACCACTTCTATCCCACTCCTAAAACTATTCTATGCCAAGTATAACATTTAAATATTTAGATCAATAGATTTTACTTTCATATTTCTTCCCCTCCCCTCTCCCGCTTTTTTTTTTTTTAATGGATAATGCTAAAAAAGTTTTGGTAAATCCCTCCAAAAACAGCCACAGGCAGAAAAATCTGGTTCTAATTCATGTTAGTCTAATTTTGAGACTTTAAAAACCTTTGGAATATTGATGGTCTGTATTCCACCTACATTAAATGTATATAAAATAAGGGGGATGGTGTAGGATGCTGCTTGTGGGGATATGGCCCATCTGCTGATGGCTGCACTACAGTGTGGACAGCACCAACTCTGCCACCATTCAAGGCAATGAGACAAGGTTAAAATCAGTAACAATTCTGACTTGTTTACAGTGAAGCCATGGTAGATTGATAGGTATTCATTTTCTTCTTTCCTCATTTTTGTTCTCTGGAGTTCCGTTTCCTCTATTCTCATTCTCTTTTCTAAACTGTCAGCCTCTTCTTCAACTTCAGCTTGCATCTTTCAATTTCCCTTTCAGATCGTGCATCATCTGCTTTTCCTTTGGCTACTCATACCTTTGTTTTCTGACTTTCAAAAATATTCCCCTCTCTGTTTTTATTTTTATGAATTTTATGCTTTTCCCAGTTCATCTTTTCAACTTTTGAGGCTTCTATACTCTTCCTTTTTCACATTTTCAGTTCAATGTTCCTACTCTCTTGTGGGATCACTTGGATCAACTGGATAAAATTGAGAACTTACTATACATAGTCAGTAAATAACACTGTAGGTTTGCTACACTGTCCCCATGCCTACCATCTCAGTGTGTAATTTCCTCGGCTGTGTTCGTTCAAAGTTACTGAAGGAATAGTTTGAGCAACAGCTTAATATTATGATTGTTGATTTGAAATTCATGTTGTATCACAGTTTGAAAGCTGCTTGTGTCACTCTGTGTCATTCCTCCAATTTAATTGAATTAATTGAATTCTTAGAACTCGACACTGGCATCTTTCATTAGCTTAGCTTACTCTGCTTTGAAAGCCTAAGTTCAAAGAGAATTTAAACAGCACTTGCGAGTAGAGGGTGAATTTTGACTTTCAGTAAGGCAGAAGAAAAAAATAAACCAAACTTTATTAACATTCATGTAAATGTCGTCATAGTTTTGTTTCATGCTGTGATCTATTGATTTCATTCTGTATATTTTGCCTCACAGATAAACCATAATGATTAGTTAATTCAATCTGATGCTTAATCTGGTGAGAAAGCAATTAAAGAAAGCAGTGACTGAAGCCTCATTTTACCTTAAAAGAGTCTAAAGAACAATATTCTGTCTGTCTATGGCTGTGCAGATTCTCTCAGTTAAGCAGCTTGCCAGTCACATTTGTTTATCTTCCAGGTGAGCCTAAACACTGTAAGAAGCCAGAAGATATGGTAAAAGCCACGGAGCAGAAAGAAGCACTGATACAAAACTAGATTTTCTATTTCCTAAAAGCTTCTGACATTTCAGGCAGGACAGGTAATTTGGTAATTTCTTTTTTATACCAGAAAGGCTTGATTAGTGCTATTATTAACCTCTTTGTTCTATTCCAGTTGTGGTTTTATTAGAAAATTTTGAAATGGGGACACAGTATACCCCCCTTACCATTCAATATAAAGAAAAGGAAAACAATACTTTTACGTCTCTCAATCCTTAATCAGACTGCACAATAATGCAATAAACCATCCTATGAAATACTGAAAGTTGTAGTGTCAAAAATTTATTGTTTATGAATTTTCATTTGACCTCTCTTGCAGGAGAAAAGAAGAACTCTAGCTGTTCCTACCTCGTGCTCTCAGAGGCTGTTATCTGTCAACTTTTTCTTGGATCATCCTGTTTCTGTGGAAAGTGAATGGACAAATTGTTCAAAAGTGTAAAATGTAGAACTCTGAGCTGGTAACTCAAGGCAATTAACAACTTGCAAGATTTCAATTGTATTTGTTGTTACTATTTCCTCTTCTATTCTGCTTTCTTAAATTAGCCAAAATAATATTTTCAGCCAAAGTTGGACCTTGCTTTGTTGCATCACTAACATCAAACATTTCCAGTTAACCGGAAGATATGTGAAAACCCAACGTTTATCATCTGCCTGGGATTGCTGTTACATGTCACTGCTGCTGGCATCCAATGAAAATGGAAAGTCAAAATGTGTTTCTAAATACTTGTTCATGCAATCATACTGCATGCAACATAAAAGTCCTACTTGTTAGTTTCCTTGAAATATCTGGAAATAAATGTATGTAGACTGTACAGAGAAGTTGTAGAATTACATTGCCCAGCCGGCATAGATGATGATTCTTCCCCACTGTGGTGGCTGCCATATGGACAGAACCGGTGTTGAACAAAGAAGTATTTGAAATATCTTAGTATTTTGGAAGATATCAGCAATAGTGCCAGCCCTACCATGAAGTTGGTGCTTATTGTTTTGTAGGGTGGAAGAGACAGCGACAGGAATACATGAAAATTGCTTCACTTCAGCAGTGTGTTGCCTCTCAGAATTGAAAGGTGACACTGACGTCTGATATTCTGGTTTATCTCAAATGCAAAGTCAACAACATGCATCCTGCAAAATCTTTGCTAGCATTTGTTTCTTTCTGAGGGGTGGCAAAACCAGAGCACATGAGCAGTTACCTTTGCAAGAAGCCTCTGAAGGAGCCCAGAAAGAAACTCCATTTTCATCTCCTCTTCCCTGAAGCTGCATGTGATCCCTCCAGACTTGCCTGGGTGTCCTGTGTGGCTGCAGCCAACCTCATTTCCCTCTGCTGGAACCTGCCAGGAAACTTCCAGGCTCCCCTTCAAGATGCAGGCTCTCGGGTGGCTCAGGTTGCTGCTCTTCCAGCTCTCTTTTTCGGACCCTGTGGTTATTACCTCACTGACCAAAAAGTCTTTATAATCAGCCATGTTCTGCTCTGAAGAGGACTCATGGGGCAGTGCCACTCCCCTCTGTGCAGAGGGTGATTGAGCTCTATGTGTCATTCATCTGCTGTTTCAGGGATCTGAGTAGAGCTCAACAGGCATCAGGCTCAACCTCAAAAAGGGCACACTTTGCCCTGATTGAAGAAGGAATCGTAAAACTATCACCCTGGACTGAGGGACCCTTACATGTTCATACCTGTTGACTGTCTCTTTTCTGACAGCAGAGCAATCAAAATTGAGCTGGGAACAGTGTAAGCTCTGAGCCGTGGGATAAGAGCATGCCGAAAGGTGGAATTCCTGTCATTGAATATGTAAGCCATATGCGTGCTATGCATAAGTAGTATGCATAGTTTTAACTTAAGAAATGTTTGTGCATATAGGATGTAAAAAATGCATTTAAATTGTTTTGTGTATCTGGTCCAGGACTTGTATTTAGCATGGACAAATTTCTGTACAGTGAAGTTAATGAATGAAATGTTAACAAATGAAATTGTATCATATATGTTATAACGCAATCAATATTTTTTGCTAAGAGTTAAGAATTTATATATTCTCTGCTAGTGTTTGAGCAAATTATTAGTAACCTGGACCACTCCGTGCACCTTTGCATCCTTTTTTGGAATGTTGGACTCCTTTATTTTCCTTTGTAATAAAATGTAAACCATCTTATGGCTTCTTATTGTCCTTATGACAAGAGAAGGAACATAATGGTCATATCAGACTTTTTTAAATTGCAAGTTGCCATATGCTGTGGCAGTGGAAAATCTTTTTCATTAAGATTGGAGAACTTGGGACCTTATTTCAGATAAGTTGAGCATCTACAGTTCCCATCAAATTTGAAAAGAACAAGAGACGACTTTTAAAACTAGGCCAGTTAGGTATTTGTTTGTTACTGACTGTTTTTCAACATTGTAATTTATGATTCACTAAGACTGAAAGTCTGGAACAATCAGAATTTGATATTTATATTGTGTTTTCAATTCCAGACTTTTACCATAGTTGAACTTGACTTTTTTTTCCTGTGTCTCTATCCCATTATGATTTATTACTCTGCAAAAATTTTCACCTGGAACTACAAGCAGAAAATATAAAAGATTCTGCAGAGAACTTGAAACATCCTGCGGGGCTCTCAGTGGCCCCAAGATCTCCCACTGTAGAAACTAGAAGGAGCCCCTGGTCTCACAGGAGGTAGACATTGCCTGCAAAATTCATTCATTATTTGGTAGTGTGATTTTTGTATAAATAATCCTATTTGCTCATTTGTATTCAGTTTTAATCACTGTGGTAGATGTTATTGAAATACAAAAAGAGTGCTTAATTTTTTGTTAATGCCAGATGATTCTCTTTCTTTCTTCCTTCCTTCTTTCCTTTATTCTTAGCAAGATTTTACATGGACATGACCCAAAGCTTGGTGTGTTGTTTGAATGAGGAGAAATTTTCTTCGGTGGAGAAGACTGATAGAGCCAACATGTGTTAGTTAAGGCTTTGATGTGGGGTGAAATTTGTGTTTGGATGGCAGAAAGGCTACTTGAGAGAGCCTCTCCCTGAGCAGTAGTTTATCTCTGAGACCTGTAATGCTGCTCTACCAAAACACTGCATGGGGCCATAAGAAATGGTGTTTGTATATGCATCTCTCCCACAGCATTAGGGGTATGTACCCTGCATTGAGCACACTGAGGAGCTGTAGCTATAGATGAGTCCTCAAGAGTTTTATTTTGTATTTTTATCTTGAGATATCTGACAGATCTATTATGTAATATTGTTATAGGTTATGATCTAGGCAGTATTTTTTTAATTTGATTTTCAACACGGCGATCTACAACTGTGTGTTTTTATTCTGCTGTATATGTCCATATTTCCTATGATGATCTTCCCAAATAAATTTGATTTGAGGGAAAGGATTGTGAAGCTCCTGAGTGTTAGTTAAAAATTTATTTTCCTGGAGCATGTTTGCTCATTTGTGAATGGTTGTCTTTGAGACGTGACAGAACATATACAGTTGTTTCCAACCCTTTCACCCACTTGGGACTCCAGGCTTTTCCCATAACTGTATCAGTTTGCCATACAAACTCACATCCTCACAGCACACTTAAAACCAGTTCCTTTAAGAGAGTCATGAATTCTTAGCCTTTATGGCTAAAACAGCCCTCACAAGAAGAAAAACATAACCAATAGAACATTTTTTACACACAAAAAAAATCTTACTGTGGGTTGAAATTGAAGGAACCACTGAGGTTGTTCTTGTTAGCAACAGCTCATCAGGAACAGTATGACTTTCAGTGGCATCACCACGAACTGGTGTAAATTTTATAACCCAAGTTCAGTGTTGTGAGTATAGAATACCCTTTTTTTTCCAGAACATTTTGTTACAAGGAGACAGACAGAGTGTTTGCTTAGGAAGGTTTTCTGCCTTAAAGGTAGCTCTGTCTCAAAGGCAGTTTCAATGCTTTCTCCCCACCCTTCATACCAAGAGAAGTTCTCAGCGTCTTTCTCTGATACCCGAGAGGAGAGAGAAAACATTTACAGAAATGCTACAGGGCCGCTGTGTCGAGGGGCCCAACAATGATAAAACCCGGGAGCCAACAGGAGGTTTGCCTGCACCAAGAAGTTTGTAAGTTTTAATGTCTTTGCCTCCGAAATAAATCCTTTCTTTGAATCTTTTCCACTGCCTTGGCATTTCTGGGGAAGATAGCTGCATACATTTTACCTTACAAGCGTAACTGGTATTAAACATGGTCCCTTCCTACTCTGATTGGACATAAATGGAAAGAATCCCATTGACTCAAACATGTATCAAATCCTGACTAGGTACATGATGGGAATAAATCAAGACAACTACTTTATACCTCATTCTTTGCAGTTCTTTTTTTCCAGCTGAAGCCGAATTTTTGCCCCAAAAAGCACAGAGAGACTGCTTTAGAGACAAAGATTTGTTTCTTTAAAGCAGGAGGTATTTTAATGCAACGCGTTGGAGAGTTCCCAGGTCGCCCTGGACAAAGAACTCTGTCATGTACAATCAGCATAGTTCTTTTATACAGTTTAGAGCATAAGATTACATCATAAACATGCATATTCGTTAAATTGCAACATCTACTTGTAATATTCATAGAGAGGCAGAGTCTTCAATTTGGGGAGGTTTAGAGGTGGAAGTTCCTGCAGCCTTCATCATGGGCAGTGGTTGCTTGCTGGTCTTCTTCGTTGTAAACTTTTGAACTTTCCTCAAATCTTTCCCTAATTTGGATAGTTGACAAGTGTGGTAGGGTCAGGTTGACTTTTGGCTCGTCCTAAGATTTGCTGATGTTGCTATCTCTTCGTTTTATGCTTTAAATGTTCTATCTTGTCAACATGTTCTGTTCCTCAGACGATTTATTACTTCTTCTGTGGTTTCCTAATGCTAGGGTTTTGGAACTACTTCCACAATTTTGTGTTTGAGTTAACCTTTTGTTTCTCAAAGACTGCCTCAATTGAGTGGCTTCACAGCATATGGACAAAGGACTTTCTTCTATTGTAGAGATGCCAGAAATCAAACAAACCACTACTGTGACCCAAAATAATTTCAAATTATCAAATGAAGATCACAAGTGGTAAGTGTCTAAAATGTGTATTTTTAATAGACTCTACAGTTATTATATAAGGAGGAAAATGTAAGTATGATTACCATTCTTCAATAGCAGCTTAAAGAGATTTGTGTGTACAGTAGTTTAGCAAACAAAAATTTGTTTGAGAGGGGAGTGCATCCCTGTTAAATCACGTTGCAAAAAATCACATCCTTGAAAAATAGTAGGGAAATATTAGTGGAAATGGCATTTAATACTGTGAGTAAAAGAGAGTGTCCTCTGTCAAACACTATGCAAACATTAGGTTACTTCCCTGGAATAATTTTCCTTTCGTGGTCATTTAAGTATTTAATGGGTTTCCGGAGACTCCTTTTCTGTGTGCCGGGGCAAACATTCAGAAGTTTTATCAAACTGTGAATGTCTAAGTATTCCCAGGAGAACAAAGAAGCAAGTCATAACCATGGAGTTATAGATGGGAAAAATTGCTTATTAAAAAAAAATGGGATTTTAAGTATTTTGTTCTTAACTTTGCTGCAAAATACTTCCTTTGTACTTAGGCAAGTCCTTTGCTTATAGCCTTTTTGAGGAGAATTGTTAGAGAATTTTACATTAGCTGAGCTTGGACAGATAATATCTTAATCAACTAAGATTTTCCCACACATTACATAGTATATGATCTTTAAAGCAGATGAGTTTTATGCATTTGCAACATCTTGTATAGGTCATTATTACAAACCTGAAGTTATACCTAAATAGGTGGTCAAAATCAAAATTGTAGGTACAATCTTGGCTTTAAGATGGACCACTTAAGCAGAACAGATGTTTTTTCATTTTTATTTGGACTGTAGCTATAAAGCTGTCTCATCACCATATAAGACCTACAATCAACATTCTTAAACCTGCAAGAAGGACTTTGGAACTTGTGTAATAATACCATGAACAAACATCAAGTAGCATGAAAGTATTTGCTAATTATTTGTACAAAGCCTGATATGATTATCTCAATCCAAATTCAGTGAGTCAAAGCATCAAATTCACCTGTGGTGCATTTCCATGAAAACCAGGGGAGATAGTGTCATTATACCAGAAATTGTTTGGTAGTTGGATAGTATTTGGTTGTCTCTTGGTTTCTCTTTATTCAGCTGGTTTACTGATTGTTTTCTGTAGTGGTGAGTACTCTGAGGGTCCAATGTCTCTGTACAATACTCAACTTTAGGCCATCTTAAATTCATTTATTGAAATTGTGCTTCCTGTTTCGTTGAAACTACTCAGCTTTGAGAGACAACTGTATTTTTCTTACCAGTCAGAAATGAACACTCACCTATATCGCTTGTTGTACTTCAGTAGTTCACAACTGAAATTAATGGCAGCATATTTGTGCCAAGTATTTAATATGATGCACAATGCATCTTTGTTTTAGCATTCCCATCTGGGAAAGACCTCTATTTTGCTAAGCACAAGGTGATTTGGGGTAGACAGAATTGTGACTGCAGCCAGAATAGTTCTGGAGGACGTGTGTTTTTGAGTAAATAGTAGGTAGAGGAGCATGGCTATAGAGTTGATATTTCCAGTTAAATTAGAGAATAAAAATGTCACAAGCAATTTAAATATTATTTATAATTGACCTTCATGTCTGTTTTTAATATTCAATCTGCTGAGTGTTTAAAAAAGCAATTAAAAGTCCCATATAATGTTAAAACCCTTGATAAATGTAATAAACAAATGACATATTCAAAAGAGAGAATCTATGTCCCATTAGGAGAGAAAAAGAAAGATGAGAGCAACATATGGCAGTATAATTAGCATGATTAGGGAAGCACATCAACAGAATTTATGCTGCAGGGAAAATGTAATAAGAAACCAACACACTTTCCTCACTGCCTTGAAAACTGCAAATATCACTCTCTGAAAAGAAGAAGATGCAGAAAGGCTCCCTGGCATTTAAAGCTGTAACTTGTGTTCTTCTGTCATTATTAAAGATGCACACAGCCATCTGCAAACCATTTATTTTTTGCAGAGTTCTCATTGTCCCATTGCTTTGATTAATAAGGAGCAATATTACACCTCAGCTGCTTTTCAGAAAGATGCTATTTTGGAAACCTAATTAATACTCATTCCACAGTTAGCTTGAGGTGTTCGTTAGTGCCAGATACTGAGTTCTTATTTGTTTCTCATTATGTGGAGAGTATTGCTTCTCAATGCCAACGTTTTTGTTTTGCATTTTGGAATAACCTTTCGACACTCCTGCTTCCCACAGCCTTCCCTTCAGATCAGCTAATAACACCTGTCATTATTTTCACATGCCTGTTAATGTCTAATGAAGACATTGTGGGCTATTTACATAGATAGACTATCCTGATGCACAGCAAATATTCCTGCCATTTTCTAAACAGTTGGGCCAAAGAGAAAAGCAAAATTTAGGAACTTGGCAACGCAATTAAAATCACAACTTACCACTAAGGGTCAGTATATACTAGGCAAATGAATCATTACAAAATTGAAAGAGTATGTTTGTCTTAACAGTATTAAAAAATAATTTTTCTGCCCTAACCCCCCCAGATTATTTAATAAATAAAACAATAAAAAAATCTGTAGCAGAACTTCTATAAACTGAACTTCTATAAACTCCACCACTGGCCTGGTCCCCGGTGTATCATTCTGTTAGAGGAAGTGTAGATGAACTGGAGGTCCCTCGCTTACTGACTGCCTGGATCCTGGGCACTGTGGGAGTCCCTGGCCCAAGCACAGGAAGCAGAACGTCTGCTTGCAACACTGTCTCGGAGTGAGAACAGTAGTGTTGGCTGTAATAGTTTTGGCTTAATAATACTGGTAGTATAAGAACTAATGGTGATTTTTCAGTTTACATTATTGGCGAGAAATAAAGACATTATGAGAAGACAATGGGTAAGTCCTTGAAGACTTCAACAGAATTTACAGTAATAAAAAAAAAAAAACGGAAGAAATTCAGTAATTAAATTGATAGCAGAGTAATAGAAGTTTTCCTGTACAACACACATTGTATTTCCTCAAAGGAAGGTATGTTGTCGGCCAAAACCTGGGGTCTTTCTCAAGCAAAATTCCTTTGAGTTCAGTGGAAATTATGTTTTAGAAAAGAGTTTTAAATCTTGAATCCTAATATCTATTGAAGTATTTTCTGGTTTTGCACCTGGAGAATAAACAACATATACCCTCCTGAAAGTCAAATCATACAATTTTTCTGAATAACTTATTAGCACAATGTCTCAGTAAATCTCTCTGGAGGGAAGAACCTGTCATGGAATAACATAAGAAACAAGGCTGTAAAATGTAATAATGAAATGCCTCTAAACCACTGTGCATTAGTGACTTAAGGGATACCAGGAAAAGACTGAAATCAGTCTGAAGTGGCAGCTTTCTTTCAATTCTGCAAGTAACATTTCCTGCAATACCTTGGAAGCCAGGACAACAGCAAGCATACCACACCATGGAAAGGTGGTAGATTTAAGAACATGGACAGGAGGAGGGGAAAAAGATACGAATTAGAATTGTTTTTAAGGAAACAACTACGTTTATTACTTGCCTGGGAAGCCTTTTTCTGCTTGCTTTTTCCATCAGCCTGTTTGTGGGAAACAAACTAATACAACTCATCAGTAAAAATCTTGCTTCCACCAAACCTGTACGACTCCTCAGAAGAAGCATGTGTTGTGAGAGGAGACAGCTCAGACAGAGAACATATCATCACAGTTTTTCTTTAGATGTTTTCATATTGGCATTTTCTTTGAGACAGTCGATGTTCACTAACTTTTTGTGTAGTTTCTCAAACCTCTGCTGATTTGTTTACACTAAAACAAATTACGACAATAATGGATTTTTGTGTTTGTTTTAGTCTGTGCTTTTGGTGACAATAAATACATTGGACAGTGATTGACCACAGACTCCCACAAAGAAATCTACATTGTCAAGTGCACCTGTGTGGAGCTCACCATGCTGCGAGACAACCAGAGCTTTCAGTTACACGCCAAAGCATACGGGAGGCTCTCTACTGAAGGCTGCTGTTCTTAAATGTCAGCAGCTGCATCAAAATCGAGAAAAGACCTGGTTTACTAAACAAACTGCTTTTCCTGACCTTCCTCTCTGATATCCACACACCTAAATATTTCTGTCACAGGGCTCACTGTCAATACACTGCAGTATTTCAGCTCTACTCCATGACAAGCACTTTTTTCCTGGGCTCTGCTATTTTACAGATTCTTTCCCTATAACTCCATTTGCTGTATGCCTCACATGTGGAAGACTAGAAAAACAGAATTTCTGTTTAAAGTTAAAAAGGAAGGATGTATAAAAAATATGAGCATCTTGACTTTGTTATTCAGATGAGGTCCCACCAGCAAATGATGTCAAGGTGGATCCATAATAAAATGTCTGCCACAAGTCCTGTCCTTTTGCTAGAAATGAGTTTCTGTACTCAGACAAGCATCTTGCATAAACTTCCATAAATAAAGAAAAAAGAAATGGGTTTTTAACATGATTAAACAAAAGTGGAATTATTAGAGCTGGGGAGATGGTAAGATATGGATTCAGAGGTGCATCTAAACACTGGCATGGCTATCTGACATTCTTAGTGGACTATGATGCTTCGTCAAGATCACAAATTCTGCAAAACAGAATTGCTGTCCTCTCATTGCTGCAGTTATAATCCTGGAAACACTCAGATCCTCTTCAAACTAAATCTGTCTATGGTTTTTTTCCCCCTATTATTTATAAAGTGTAATCATACTCAGGTCCAATAGTCATCCTGAAAGAGGGTGTTCAGTGATGAATTCTCCAAGCTCTTATCAGGTGTTTTGTGTGTTGCCTTTGAAATACTGAGATTACAAAGTATTCAATACCTTCTCCTGGTATGAACTCTTATAAATCACGTACATGTTTTCATTTGCCCACAGGTCCCAAAGAGTTCTCATCTGGAGCCTGTGGGTACTAATAACAAGCAAAAAGCCATTAATATCCAAAGTGCTTTATTAGCTAGCAACACAGAGAGAGGGTGTGAGGTTAAACACCGATGACTGATTCACAACTTGGGAGTACTGCGGCAACAAGCAATTATGTGAAGAGCCTGGTGCTGTGCAAAAGCAAAGCCATGGCAAAGCTGGGACTGGAGCCCAGTTCTTCTTGCTGCCATTACAGTCCTAACTTGGGGCCATTCAAAAGGTTTCTGAAGGTCATTTCCATCTTTGTGTTATTCGTGTCATAAAAAGTTCCCAGTCCTCTAAGTCCCACAGCTGCTTCTGTATAACTGAAGACTCCTTCTTTTAGTCCTTCTTGCATACCCTTGCTGAGCTGGAGTCATGGATGCTGCTTGTAATGTTGCTACTGAAAATGGAACCAAAGAGGACAGATGGAGGGGAAAAGATGGCTCTCAAATATAAAGAAACACTTGTTGACAGATCGTGTTCTCAGCAGGTCTTTGGGGAAGACCTTGGATTGAGAGTGAAATCATCATGCAAGACATAGACAAAAGGTTCTGTGTTTCCAGGTCTTTTTTTTTCTTCTTTTCTTTTTTTTTTTTTTTTTTTTTTTAAAAGAGACTTAAAGTAAGGGAAAGTTAAACTGAGGGTAAAACTTTATATCAAAGGCAAACAGTTAATACAAAATGACAGTGAGTTCATTAAAAAAGTTTGCCATTGATAAAAAATGGAAATAATCTGTTAAGCGTCACTTTGAAAAAACATGGTTTTCCTTCTCCACCTTATTTCATTTTATGCCATAGAGTTTGCACAGTTTAACAAATGGAAAGGTTAGTACGAATCATGGCAGACTTCAACCAAAAACCTAGGGCTCAGACAAAGGTTAAATTTCTGCAGCTTGATATGCTATCACTGACTGAAACTGTGACAAACTCAGGGCAGAGAAAGCTGTAGCTGTACTTGCTGCAGGTGATGCAGTGGATATCAGCATTTCCCATGGCTCAGCTGATGCATGGAACCCTGCTCACAGGTCCCACATGCCTGTGTGACCTCTGACTCTCAAACTGAAACCTTTTCTAATGCCTCCAGATAACCATGATCTCTTGTAAAGAGAAATAATTTTTCCTGCTGTGACTAGGCAGCCTCAGACCAAAAGCCAGACAAGTACTTTGGGCATCACATATCCAGGGAACACAGAGAAGAGTGTCTTTGCATCCTTCTACAGACAAAGAATCACCTCTGCTTACTTTGTTACCTTGTTTCTATCCACATTACTGCAAGTAACTCCACCAACACTGATAAAAGCTGCCCTTCACCGAAAATATCATTTTACATGATCATTTCTCTGTGTACTAGACAAACCCTCTGTACAACACACAGTCTTGTCGAAATTAATGTCTCATTTATTTTATACCTTTTAAATCCGTTTTATTTACAACAAACCTTAGAGTACAACTCACACGCAGTAGTCAAGCTCTGGCAGTACTGACGTCAGGTAGCTAACACGTTTGCAGATTACATTTCCAAGTCATAGAAAATGAAAGAAAAATTACTTTAAAATAACCGTTTTATCTTCAGGTATAGGGGTCACAGGACACATTTGCAGGTGTCTGTGAAGCCCATTAGAGGGCACTTTCCGGGGAGCCCTGGTGGCACATGGGGCGGGTGGTGGAGGATCTGGCACACACATGGCCCCGCAGTTCAGTTACTCTCCATGACGGGGCTTGGGACAGCTCTGCCCTGGTTAATGGCCCCACTCCTCTTCCCTTTCACCAGCTCCCTCTTCTTCTTCTGGAAACACTGAATCACTCTGACTCTTCAGATGCTTAATCCCTGAAAATAAAAAAGTCACAATTAAAGCTGTATTAGTTTTGTGTGTGTGTGTGTTTGGTTTTTGTGTGGTGTGTTTTTTTTTTTTTTGGGGGGGGGTGGTGGGGTTGTTATTGTTTGGCATTTTGTTTTATTTTGGGTATATTTTTGTTCGTTTTTTGTCAAGGAAGAAACAAACAAAAAACCAAAATAATGGCAAGTGTAATGCCCATACTGACTCCCCTTTTCACAAACTTCTTAGTTCAAATAATGCCATGGTGTATTTATAACAGAAATGTTCTCTTCCTCGAATATTGGCTCAAAACAGTATTTGCTTCTCTTTTTTCCTTTGTAACCTTTGATCAGATTAGTGTTGCCCATCTCAAGCAAGTGAAAAGTTTCCAAGACTGTATGAATGGAAATTATCTCTTTCTGAGACTGATCTGATGAAGGTCAGAAGGCTCACATATGATCCCTTGCATGATCCCAACTTCCCGTGTGCACCAGAGGTGTTCTCCAGTGTGAATCCTCACAGCCTGCCCACCACCTGCAGAGCTGTCCTGATGCAAAGAGAGCATTGCACCTGACAGAGAGGATACTGCTGGCACCAAAGCCATGACAAGATTGGATCATTTCTTACATGGAGAATGTGTTCTTTTTGACCTCCAAATACCACGTGGTGCTGTGTGAAAAGGGTAAATACCTACCATGGGACATTTGGAAGTTTGAATTACCTACTGCTGGATGGTTTTAGCCAATAAGTGAAGTAGACTATGAAAATTAATCAAACTACAAAGTAATTTTCTGTATCCCATGTTCAGTACAAGCAAGCAGGTCTCAATGAATGGGTCAAATCCCATTTTCTCAGCTCTGCCTTGTTGTGATAGAAGAATTCGAGCAGGAAAAGGAGGCAACATCAAGCTAAAATGATGACAGACATGACAGACCGGAGATGAAGAGTTGTTATTTTCAAAAGATTTAAAGAGCAAATGCAGAAGATTAACTTCTGGGCCCCTAGTTTTTAAAAAACAAAGTAGGAACATAACTTTTAATCAAATGCGTGATTTCAACGAAACATAAGCCTTTTTAGGTTTTTTGGTGTCACTACTGTCCTAACATAAAAAAATGTTTGGTTTCATTAAAGATCATACATTGTTCTTGTCACCATTGCTAATTGTTGGAAAAAAAGGCTTCCCTTTTGTATCACTTCCTCTCTGTGATGAGAATTACATCATAGCTGCTTCAGACAGCTACCGCTGGAGAATCAAACACCTTACGAGTCATAGCACTTGTAGGGGCACAGTTTTCATACAGGGTAAGATCCAGATCCAGATTACCTCTAATTATGGGTTAGAAGAATTGGTGATGGTGTATGTCTGAGAGTCATGGAGCCAGGTGCCACTAAACCTGAAGGTTCCTACATTTCACTGCTTATGTCCACACCACTCCAAAGTATGGGATAGATTTTTTCCATTTCTATCACTTGAAAAAAACTTCAACATAAGTTATTCCAGTTCAACAAAGTTACAAGTAACTGAATATGGTATCTTACAAGGGGTCGTACAACAGCCACCTCCACTTCCAGCAGGAGCCCATCACTGTGCTGGGCCCTGGGTTCCCCTCACTTTTTTCTCCACACAAACAATAGTACATGGTTCCCTGGGAAACTGTTGTTCAGATGTAAACCAAGCAAATACATTAACACTTCCAGGCTACAGTTCTTGTAAGTGGGCCCTGCAATAATCCAACCATTTCCAATTAAGTAACTGTGATACATGAAGAAACACTTTGATGCTCAGCTACCACCAAGCTCTTAGCACCCCCTCTTTAGCAACACGCTTTAGTAAAGCAAACACTTCAAATATGATTTCACCTATCTATATGTTAATGGACATTTGAGACAAATTATATTGTGTTTGTAAGGCAAATTTGTCTCCTGTTGTTTCCTCTGCACTTACAGAGCCATTTCTTGCACAGTTCACAGTACCCCTGTGACAGCTACTCTTCAGTATTTCAGACAGGAATTGCTAGGAGCCAGAGCACATAATTTTCAAAGATGAGAAAGGGAAAGTTGGGGACAGAAAAGAAGGTCTGTGATATACAGTTAGTATGATGAAGTTTCATGGAATGGTATTTTTTGTAGAAGTGAAGACTTTTGGTTATGTAGTTTAATTGTAATATTACATATGGAAATTGTAGTAAATGGAGGGAATTTATATCAATGAGCATTGCCCATTGACTTTCCCATAGCAAGTACCTATTAATCCTACTTCATGATTTTTCCTAACCTCCATTCGGTATCCTGCCTTCAGCTCTGCCAGTTATTTAATGCCACAGTGTCACTTGGAAGTAAAAATTCCCAGGGCTTCCTGCTCTGACAAATAAGTGCACAAGACTTGATGTCTTTATATATAAACCTCAAGATGTTCTGACAGCATCAGGTTATCCAAATGAAGTGACCCTAGGTGTGTCATTATGAAATCAGGTGCTCAACTACACAATGAAACGTTAGTGTGAATCAACAGGTAAAGAAATTCCTGTCAGTAACATGAATATGCACGACAGAAAGTGCTGGTGGCTGTCCTGAAAAGATACATTTCACGCACAAAGCATCAGACTTTTACAGTAATAAAGATGAGCATCAAACATAGACTATAAGATTTTACTTGTAGCAAAAACACAAAACAAAAGCAGAATATTTGTTGGGTGATGAGGGAGATATTAAGAAGATATTGTTTGTATGTAAAAGCATATGTTCCAAGTTAGAAATGTTAAGTTATTGGTTCCATGTAAACAACACAAGATTCATAATATCAGTTGCAAATAGGGAAGACTGCAAATGCTGATCTCCTCAATGTCCCTTATACTAGGCAATGGATAACTCTGAATTTGTGGGCACCCTCACCATCCTGAAGTGCAGGCACAGGCCTGCACTGTCCTGATGCTGCTTTGTTTCTCTCACTGGCTTCCCTGCCCTGCTCGCCCCTTAATTAGGGATGGGGCTCACAAGGTCCCAGCTATCTCAAGGGGCTGTTCCCAATCTCCTCTACACCTGGCCCAGACACTGCTCCACAATGTCACAACCCGACTGGGGTTCTGTTCTTCACCCTGACAGCAAAAAAAACCCCCTTCCAGACCAAACGCTGCCCCTTCTAACCACCCCCTGGCAACCATTTCATACACTCAGTGTGTTCAAACTTATCTTTATGCTGCTTTAAAACAAAACCTGTCTGAACACTTCTAAAGCCAGCCAGACAAAGAATTGTTTTTCCTCAAAGGGCTTTTATTTTGGAGTAGGTAATTTAATACAACTAATGTTGATAAGTAAACCCATAATTTCAAGCCGTATTCAGCAGCCATGCACTGATATGATTTGAACTGGTAATTCTTTTAAGATGAAGTCACTGCCTCAAATAATATTTCTATATTTCTAGGTAGTTATAAATTATGAGTGCAAATGGAACAACTTTCTGGCATTTTTGTAGTCACAGAATAACATCCATGCTGTTTCATCATCAGCTTTTGCTTCTCTCCATCTGACCAAAGCACCAGATTAGAAGGCTAAGCAGTGTCACAAGATATGAAATAACAAAGTGTTCCTGAATTAAGTAAAAAAAATTAAAAAATGCTCAAGTAATTAAGGCAGCTCCCCATCCTATTTAACACTTCTTCCTTCACCCCGCTTCACTGCCCAAGGAAGAGTGTTGACATTTACTAAACTCAGGATTGAAGTCTGGTTGGCAGCTTGAATTCCCTGAAGCTTGAAGGGTATTTAGTTTTATGATTTGGAGCTGATCCTCTCTCTATCAAAAACACATTTCCAGATTTTCAGGAAGCAGTGAAAGGCAAAGCTGAGCCACAGACAAAACAGGCTGATTTTCAGCATTTCAGAACTCGAATCACTTTGAAATTATCATGCAAACAAACCTGGCCAAAGAGGATAACAGCCAAATAAAAAAGTCTATTTTATGCCAATGCTAAATGAGTTATGTTCATGTTCCCTCAGCAAAAATGAGAATATCAAAAGAAACATCATATATTCACACAACTATACAGGAAAAAACCCTGTTCTTTTTAGTGGTACATTTTGTTTTGCATTTATCAGTCAAATATGTTTTGACTTCTCTGATATGTCTTATAATTTTTTCTCAACTGAAAAGAATTCTTGATTTAAAAAAAAAAACAAAACAAACAAAGAAACCCCTCAAAACCCTCACAGAAAAACCCCAAACCAAACCACAAAAAACAACAAAAAATACACACAAACCCCCAATCCAAATCAAACCAAACCAATATATTAAAAAAAAATCCAAAACCACAAAAACCCAAAAAAACAGGAAATTTAAAAAAAAAACAAAACAAAACAACAAAACAAAACCAAACCCCAAAAGAAAGAAACAAACAAATCCAGAGAAAAACCTCAAAAGTAATGTCATCAAAATCAGCATCCACCACAGGTCTTTGGCTGAGTGCAGTGGAAGGCAGCTGTGAAGGTGACAGAGCCCAAAGGAGCTGATGGGTCTTCCAGGGCAGCCTCCTCCAGGCATAGGGGTGGCCCACACTGATACAGATTAACAAATAGCTGTTGCAGATCACAGGCAACTTTGGGGCACCTAACAGCAGCCTGCCTGTACCAAGGAAAGTCACCTAGAAGAGGGACATGTCTGTTCATGAATTGGAAGAGAGTATATTCTGACTGGATATAAGGAAGAAATTATTTCAGTGAGTGTACTTAAGCACTAGTGTGGTTTGCCAGTGAAAATGTAAGGTTTGTCTCCAAGGAGCTTTTCAGTACTGATCTAGACAAAGCCTTGAACAACTTGGTCAAATTTGGTGCTGATTCTGCTTTATGCTGCAGGTTGAACTGTGGGCTTTCCCAAGGTTTCTTGTGACCTAAATAACTATAGAGTTTTATGACATCAAAACTCTGAAAATCCACCTTACAGTTTATAAGAGTGTCTTAAAATTAACTGTGTGATTGAAGGCTACATTTTGACCCAGCTAGCATTGTCAAATTACTCCTT